ATCGTCTGAAGCCTAATAACAGCTTTCCTGTTTTCTCGTAAATGCTTCAGTTTACAAAGTTGGATAATTTAGAAAGTGATTTAAAAAACACCATTTAACTTTTAGACTCGCATAAACTATCACTTTTCTTTCAAAGTTCCGGAAGGAAAGTTAAAACAATTGAATAAACTCTTTTTTGTTCAGTACACGGCAAGTCACCATGATCTGTGATTGTAAAATGAACTCTTCTTTTGCCAGACTGTTGAACAGATTCCCTGAGATCAATTCAGTCCTGTTAAAGTTTAACTGATCTATACTCAGCTGCACAAGAAACTACATTTTTGATATCCCCAAAACAAAGGAATGCAAGAAATGCAGTGTGTATTGCGTGTATTGATTTAAATGTTCAAACAATAAGTTAACCCAGAAATATATCAGCAAAGGAATTCCGTGTGAACCAACGTACAACAAAGAAGGAATCCTCAACACAGTTCACTGATATCACCCACAGTGACTCAGTGAGTGAGTTTAGTTTTACGCCGCACTCAGCAATATTTCAGCTATATGGCGGCGGTTTGTTAATAATGGAGTCTTGGCCAGACAGTCCAGTGATCACTAGCATGAGTATGGATCTACATAATTGGGATACAATGACATTTATCTTGCCTCACACATAAATGTCGTTTTCTGATTGGCTGAGCGCTCTTCTATTATTTTCTATGTACCCCGCTTACAAGCAGTAACATTTTCTATGTACCCTGCTGGGAATGCCCAACTCATCTGGTACTTCGTAGTAGTAATTCTTTATCTCGAATAACATTGAATCATGTATGACGTACGGAAATTACTAGGGCTGCAACGAATACACTATGTGGCAAATATGATACGTATCATGAATATTGGGTAACAAATACGAATAATTATTCACGAATACAATATTGTAGGTAAGTGATTGATGCACAATATCGAATGCCCATGTTGACAGTGTTAATTTGTCACAGCAATAACCAGTCATCTCATGACACTCAAATTTGGTATGTAACAGTTATAGATGACAGTACCATGTGAGGCCTTGGCAAACTAACATGACTTTACTACTGCAATGCTAGTACATATTCCATAATTCCATATCTCACTTTGAAAAAGGACATGAGGGTCATGCTCCCTTAAAAAAATCGTAAGTATTCGTTAATATTCGGTTCTGGTGACCACGAATAACAAATTGAATTCATGAAGGGCTACGGTTCGATTCACCGAATATGTGAGTGAATCGTTACAGCCTTAGAAATTACCGATGTTTTGCGAATGCCAATCGATGGAAGGGACATGTGTGTTTCTTGTCGTCTTGTCGGCTTGTACTCCATACTATGATCCGATACCCATGCTTCAAACAGTTCAAAATTACCATTGAGGTGTTCGGTAAGATAAATATGTTGTTCACTGGTCACTCGGGCCCATGGGTTGATGTACCCTCGATGTTTCTTTATGATCCCCTTGCCCTTTGGGCTCAGGAATCACAAACAAACATCGAGGGTGCATCAGCCCATGTCCCCCTCATGAGTGAGTGAGTGAGTGAGTTAAAATTTAAAGTCACATTGGCAATATTTCAGCCATATCATGACTAAACCTAGTTCTAAATTCATAATACATACATATAATATATAAAACCCTGTCAACGAAGGACAGTAAAATTACTAGATTATCACAAAATGAGTTAAAACTAGCTAGCATATATCTTTAAAAGTAGAAAACTATTTTTGGACAATACAATGTAAAAACTGGCTATAGATCGCCAGCAACTGAAGGCTGATCACCAAACTAGGGACCATGGGGACTTACAGTACTTTTGCTACCTGCATGGACCCTAGCTGGATTTATATCATCCCTTCAACCACTGGCGATTGAAGTCAAATTTAGCGAAAAATTAAAATGATAAGAATACTACATTTAAAACAGCTAGTAAATTTAAATTTCTTTTGAATGTTTCAGGGCTTACGTCCCCCTCATGACCAGTGAACAACTTATAATGTCAACCAGTCAGCGAACCTGACCACCCGATCCCGTTAGTCGCCTCTTATGACAAGCATGGGGTACTGAAATCAATTCTCATGAATCAAAGATGCACTGAATAGTATTAAAACATTGAAGAGTAGTACACGGTTTTTTCAAGTGATGTTATTCTCAAAGCCTCACAAAAGCAAATGTTGATTTCAATCCTTGTCCAGACAAACCCTAAAATTCAAGGCCTTTTCATGCCCTAAGAACAATCTGTATTTTCTGTGTAACACTCAAGGAGAACTGCGCAGCTGGCAAACTGCACACAAAGACAGAAAAAGATTACAACAATTTTTCCAAAGTGATCATTTTTGGTTTGAAAAAGATTTCCTTTCATGCTTCTCTTGCCAATTAATTGATTTTTATTCCCTGAAGTCTTTAAACACATTTTTTCCGTAACATTGACTGTTTCATCATTTCAAACCAAAATGATTAAATATCTAAATAAATAAGTGGGTTAATCAGTTATGCACTGCACAGCCATCAGGTACGATACTGCCAGATACAAATGAAATGTTGGCCTGGAGAAAGGTTTCCACCACTCATCTATGTCAAAATTGACTAGACTTAGTTTTGTTTCACTATGAGAGTGTTTATTCAACAGTGTCTGATACCGTTGTAAAGCAATACATAAAGCACACCAAAAGGCTTGCACTAAATCCATCTGTTCTTATTTCATGGTAAGTGTATTTGTTTACAAGCATGAGAAAAGTCAGACTGACTGACTGACTTAGGTTTTACGCCGCTTTTAGCAATATTCCAGCAACATCACGGCGGGGGACACCACAAATGGGCTTCACACAATGTACCCATGTGGGGATTCGAACCCGGGTCTTCGGCGTGACGAGCCAACGCTTTAACCACTAGGCTACCCCACCGCCCCCAGAAAAGTCAGATATCATGATGAGACTATATCTGTGGTGGGGGTCAATGGTGAAGAAACTTCTCTTACTGAATAAAGCAAGTAGAGACAAGCACGTTCATGCTATGTTTTTGCAAACAATGCCAGAGAAAGGTAGAAATACTTGCCCTGATGGAAACAACAAAATACTGACTGAGTTTGGTTTTACGCCGCTCTTAGCAATATTCCAGCAACATCACGGCGGGGGACACCAGAAATGGGCTTCACACATTGTACCCATGTGGGGATTCGAACCTGGGTTTTCGGTGTGACGAGCCCACGCTTTAACCACTGAGCTACCCCACAACAAAATACACTGTAACAGTTGTGTGACAAAACCACACATTTATTATTTTGTTTCCTTCTTCACAGGATCCATGCTAAATGATACAGTTGTCAGAGAAGTGAACAGGTGAGTTACCTCAACTGGTTTGGTACTGGCGTCCTTGGCCAAGACTTGACTTCATCAGACCCTGACCCATATTCGTGTATCCATCACCCAATGTTAGACTATAATACAAGATCAGAGATCCTAAAAACTTGATGTCTGAAGAAAAACTGTTTGTTCCCACTAATGCCGTGGGGCTGCTAGCTAGATCCAATCTGTCAAAAAAATTAAAACTAATAACCTAATTAAACTGGTCAAGCAAAATGAAACTTAAATATTCCTGAATAAAAGATGCTCAGACAGAGAATCAATAACATAGTCACTAATAAGTACTGTAACCAAGTTCAAAGAAAACACGACAATAACCGAATATGTCAACACAATTAGAAATCAAAGACGTGAAAAAGGTCTATGGAAAGGGAAGAAAATGTTTGAATAACATAATATAACCATAACATAATGAAATCTTGACAAATCATCAGAGAGTCTGGCACCAATTAAACATCAAAGACACACTTAGTCCATAAACCGATACCCGAAAGCAACAAAATGTCTGACTCTTCCCTTCTTCAATATGGCCATTTTGTCACAAAAGACCAAGAAGCCTGTAATTTCTGTGGTGATAAACTAGTCACTGGTGCCTATTCTGTCCATGTACAACATCCAACAAACATCAAAGAATGAAGCAACAAAAGAAATGAAAGACTAACTGGCGGCATATTTTCAGGTTAAAATCAGAAACGTTTCTTGATGCCATTATACAAGCTGTGAAAGTCTTGTACAAGATGAAGAAGCAGGAGGGTCATTCCATGTATTGATGATCTCAAGATAAAATGACTTTCAGGTGATGGGTAATGTCCTTAATTAACGTCTCTATCATTTCAGAGATTGTTTAAAGTTTATTTTGTTACTTTTTTTCTTATTTGGGTACAGGCACAATCTTTGGGTATTGAAACATATCAAAGAGACTAGATATTGATCAGAAGATTGATAATAACTAGTGTATTGTGAATAATTAACATTTGAAATGGTTTTTGGAAAGGCAGTTTCACCACTTCTTTTCAAAATCAGAAGAAATTTCTTCTAAAGAAGAAGGGGCAAGAACTAGCCCAGAAACGTTGTGAAAAATAAATCAAGAAGTTGTTATCCATAAGATTTGTCTTGTATTAAAAACAGGTACCACTGTTAAATTATATTCTGATCGTGAACTGTGTATGAAAGAGTGATAGAAATAAAGCTAGTTAAAGCTTGTTGAATTACTAGTCCAAGTAGTGAGTAGCAAACAGTATTAATTAAAAGCTACTCATCAGTCAGTCAGTGAGTCAGGGAGTCACAGAAATTAACACAAGATATTTACATTACTAAGCAAAGCTTTGAAAACCTTTCTGAGAAGTTCTATGTGCCCTCAGAGTATCCCTTACATTAAATGTACAGCATTGTCCTCACATTCTTACATGCGTTTTTGTTTACTTGTTTACTATTGGAAAAACACAAACCTGTTTCGTCAAAAAAGAAGGAAAAGAACCAAAAGCATTTAATGATATTTCCACCCAAAACAAAATGTTCCACATCTTTTTCCGTTATGACTGCATCATCACTGCAGTACAGTTTGCAAGACAATAAAGTCTGCGTGAAGTCCTTCAAAGCAATAACAAACATTAACTTAATGACACTCACCTTCAAGAAGGCCCACTCAGGCTGGAATGTGACTCTAGTCTAGCATCTAGACAGACAGCAGACACCTCCACGTCTTGATACACTTCCAAAGAAAAACATTTCATTATATACTCATCAAAAGAAGTTAAGGAACATCCAATTCTATATTCACATGACTCCTTTGGAGTTAGTAATATGAGTTAGTGAGTTTGGTTTTACGCTGCTTTTTGCAATATTCCAGCAATATCATGGCAGGGGACACCAGAAATGGAGCTTCACACATGTACCCATCTTGGGATTCGAACACGGATATTTGGCATGAGGCTCCTTAATCAGAGAACATTTTAAAGAAAACATCTGTACATATATATCCACGATTCTAAAGGCTTGCAATAGTTTACAATGAAACCCATTAAGAGAGATGTTAAAAAAATTACAAAATCGCATCACACTCTCATCCGACTGAGTAGTGCTGGGTGAACAGGGGAATATTTCAAACTAGTGAAGCCCATTTCTGGTGTACCCTGCCGTGATATTGCTGAAATATTGCTAAAAGTGGCGTAAAACTAAACTCACTCACTCACTCACGTGTGCTTAGTTGTACAACAGGGAGAAGGAACTAAAAACTCTCACCAGACAAACTTCCTGATTACTGTTATCCATACAACTACTCTTTATGACAATGTTTCTAAACTTTACCTGACCTGAGACTTGCGAGTTTTACAGTGTCAATTGATGGGTTTCATGACAAAGAAGTGAATAAATAAAATGTTTCACTGCTCAAAATTTAATACATTTTCTGTTCTCATTTTCAAATGAAAAACATTTACAAATGGACCAAACATTAAACCAATAAAATGTCAGTTTTTATACTTTTCATAGTAACATTCTACTCTTTCTTTATGTATCCCCCCTATGGCATGGTAGTAACATCCAACAGTCACTTGGATATTTAATTACTGAAACATCACAAAAAAAGGATTCTTAATGTATACTTACCATATTTACTGTTGAACTCTGTAAACAAGCCACTTGTAACCTTGATCGCGATAAATCGCGATAACTCTACACAATCCATCAATAATCTATCAATTCATTTGCTACCATCCTACACAAGATCAAAAGGGCTAAACATAAAAGATTCATGAAATCTGTAAGAAAAACTGTTCCTGAAAAATATATTCTGCAAAAAAAGATTGGGGATTAAATGTTACTCGTAGGAATATTAAAGAAAAATGGCAAAACACATTTATCAAAATGTTGTATGATATATCATTGTTGTCAACATGTATGTGAACTGAAAAAAAAATATATAATAATTGTATCATAATTTGGAAACATAATACATGTACATCATATTCTAGAAAAATGTTTCTTTTCAGGAAAATCTAACAAATCTGTCAACTTGTGTCCAATTTTCCAGCAGACTGCATTAATTCCTCATTTTTTCTCCATCCCATCAACTGAGAGCTGGCAGTAGTGGAATGACAGGATTCTGTGACAGGCTTCCGTCTTGTCTGGTTGAAAAGTATTTCTAGCATCACCATCATCAACACCACAGCACACTAGCTCAGATCGGAATCAATGCCCCAAGTCACACAACTTGAGACACCCACCATTAAATGGAAACCACATCGCATGATTTCCACATGAGGCCCAGATACCAAGGGACATAATCTGGGATTAAAACCCCTGAAGAGAGGATCCTCGCACAGATAAGGGAGGCAACTCCTCAAAGTACATTGAGCACTACAGATCACTGTGACCCTTTTAGGCCACAGAATAAAAAGGACCAAATTTCTGTTCCAAATCTAAAATATTCAATATCCAGTGCCAACAAAAAGAATAGAGCTGTGACGATATATTGTAGTATCGATAATCGTGATACTTTATCTGACGATAAATATATCGATACTATTTTTTCGTATCGCGATATGTATCGTTGACCTTAAAATTGTTATTTTTTACCAGAAATTGACGGTTATGTCAAACTTTACACTGTTACTTGCTATCAAAATATGCTTTTTTGAAAGAAAATAACTAAAGATAGCATATCGTGATATGTATCCAATCTTCCAAGATATCGCGATACATATCGAATCGTGAAATTTCTGTATCGTCACACCTCTAAAAAAGAATACAATTACTTACCGCTTTCTGCTCCAACAGCACCATGATGACCAGCGAGATGTTGCACTTTGTCTTGAACTCAGCCTGCCAAGTGGAAAGAGTGAAGTGTTTGTAATTGATGGTTTGATTTATATTTCAGATGAGCGCATTATTTTTGCAACTGATATTGTATTTCGGAGTCCCTGTTTGAGATAAGTCCAGGCAATCAGCATAGTGCATGGCCAAAGTGAGGAAATTATCCACACAATTTTGGAAAAAGTAGCAACATTTCAAGATATTATTATTCTGGGGAATATTCATAGAAAGATTAATATTAGAGGTGTGGATGTTATGGACCGATTTTTATCAAATTGTAAAACTGACACAGACGCTCAATCATTCACACTCTCATCTACTCACTCTGTACAAAACCAAAAAATGTTTGCCACTAACATGGCAATGGCCCCGCCACTAAAGAAGAATGAAATATAACATATTTACCAGCTTTTATCTTTTGGTCACATAGAAGATTACCTTTTACGTGAGGCAGTTATCACTTTAACAAGATTTTGAAAAGTGTCATGTCACCTTGAAAATAAGGTCAAGGTCTCCCTGAAATGACTAGTGTCTGCGTAATCACCCAATGTAGGCTGTCAACATAATTGAAAACATTGGATGCAATGTTTTATGACATATCGCATAAACAAGAGTTTAAAAATGTTCAAAGTGCCATGGTGACCTTGAAAACAAGGTCAAGGTCACCTTAATCGAGTGGTGTCTGCGTAATCACCCAATGTAGGCTGTCCCCAAATTTGAAGACACATGGGTACGACAGTGCATGAGATATCATGTTAACAAGATTCAGGATGTACACATACGGACGGACGGACGGACAGACGCTGCTGAATACATAGTCCCTGGTTTTGCGTTGTGGCAGGGGATAATAAAGTATTGTAAGAAATCCAAAATGGAATCTTAGTAAGAAAGAACCTTGTATATTATTTAAACAAGATTACTGAGGTCCAGAAGAAGCCAGGTCCCAATCAACAAGTTTGGGGCAAAAAATGTAACTTTAAGCAATAAGAAATATTTCTTTCAATGATACACCAGTTGGATATAATATATTCAGATGAACAATTTAACAACATAATCTGTAATGAAATCAGCAAAGTTTTCTCAATATTCTAAAAAAGAAAATATTGTCATGACTCAAATGTCACATTAAAACTAACAAATATCGGAATAACATGCTAATAAAGTTGCAGGCATACATCAACTCCTTTCAGTGAGTGACAACAGAATTCCTTCCATATCCCTTGAGGGAAAACAAGAATGAAAGTGATAGAAATGAATCTTCTGCAAGAGTGTCACATTCATCCCCTCAGCAGGTGGAACTGCTACATCAGCGTTTTTGCCCTTTCCTTTCCAATGACATAATCTTGTCAACTTCTGTTTGATTTATTGCACCATAATGTCCATTAAGTGTGTCGATAATATATTTATCATTATTTTCTGCACACTAATTTTGCGAAATAAAATTTAACTCTGGCTTCATATTAACATTTTTACAAAACAATATGTGTGCCAATTAGGAATCAGGAACTTTATTTTACCGTGCCATCATGATCTTCAATGTTCCATTGGCAGTGTGATACAAGGACTTTCAAATCTTCGAACTAACTCTAATATTTTGAATCCATGGAGGAAAATCAAAGCTGTGTTGTAAAACAAACTCTTAAACTACTATGATACTCACCTGGGCCTCTATTCTCGAAATATTCGTAGCCCTACAAATTTCTTAAGCCCACTCTTAACACATTGGCTACGATCAAAGTTACGAATTCTTAGGGCTACGAACTTTTCGAGAATAAGGGCCCTGATTCAGACTAACCTTCCTATGACATATACTACTCACGTTTGCAAAGGATCAAATTTCAATCCTATAAAAACATAATCCAACAACCATTAAAATGTTTCACAACGGCTGAGTATATTACAGATTGGACAGGAGGAAGCCTGGTGTCCCCGCTGTGATATTGCTGGAATATTACTAAAAGCAATTGCTAAAACTCACTCACTCACTCAGTGCCGCCTCAGTGGCAACACAACATCAACTTTCAAATGGCAACCTGTGATCAGCAGGGCATCTAATCAATTATACTCATTTGGATCAGCCACCCAGCGACTTGCAGATGGTCGACAACGTTCCACCACCCAATAGGAAGTCTGGTTTTATCCAAACTCCAAAATGATATCGTGACTGCCACTATACTCAGAAATGACCTGCACAACATGAGTGAGTGAGTGAGTGAGTGAGTTTGTTTAGTTTTACGCCACACTCAGCAATATTACAGCTTTATGGCAGCGGTCTGTAAATAATCGGTCTGGACCAGACAATCCAGTGATCAACAGCATGAGCATCGATCTGCGCAATTGGGAACCGATGACACGTGACAACCAAGTCAGGGAGCCTGATGACCCGATCCTGTTAGTCGCCTCTTATGACCCAAGTAGTGATGATGTGTCGGTAAAGGCAGAGCGCAACTGTCTCTGTGAGGCTTGTGACCAGTCATGGAGCTGCCCAGTAACACCCCCCACTCACTCTCACAGGCACATTTGTATTGGGCTGTAGATCCCATCAATCAGACACAGGTCATATACTCATGGAAACAAATAAGGGAACACATAAAAGCAAAAGTGTTCCTATAGTCTTTTCCAGGTTTCTTCGCATGCTTTGACACGGGTTCGAATCCCCACATGGGTACAATGTGTGAAGCCCATTTCTGGTGTCCCCAGCCATGATGTTGCTGGAATATTGCTAAAAGCGGCAAACTCAGTCAGTCGCATGCTTTGTATTGTACTGTGGATGAAAAGCTGGGAAAAGCATAAAAGAACACATGTCCTTTCATGTGTTCCTTTATTTGTTTCCATGAGTAAATATTTGGCTCCAGTAGTTTCCAGAGTGTGGCATGGACAAGGTGAAAGATGTGATCAGAGAAGCTGGAAGAATTGACCTCCATGTCTAACACGGTGACAGGTGTGCACTGTTTGGATGATATTCTACTGTATACTTGTGTAATCTGACTATTTTTCATCATTGTCTGGTCTGGGTTAGAATATTGATCTTCAGTAACCCATGCTTGTCGTAACGCGGGTGGTCAGACTTGCTGACTTGATTGATACATGTCACTGGTTCCCAATTGCTCTGATTAATGCTCATGCTATTGATCACTGGATTGTCTGGTCCAGACTCGATTGTTTACAGACCGCCGCCATATAGCTCAGAGGTACAGATAAGCTGCTGTCTGCGTAAATTACGCAAATATTTATGTGATTACTCAATTCCTATCAAGTCTATTGCGTACAAGTATGCTTGATTTTTTTTGTAAATACTCAATTAACTGATCTTACATGTGTACACACACAAATGTCAAATCTTAGCTTGTGTACCGGTGGATATATAAAATAACTGAGGAATATCGAGAGGTTCTATTTCATCACATTAACTTGGAAACTTGCAGTCTTTTATCGCTTCTCATATTACAAATCAACTATATATATAACAAACACGTAAACCAACATTTAAATTTAGATATGTTTTTACAATTAATGGAAAATGGCAAAATACCCAATTGAGTTTGAGTGAGGTGGGTACAATTTATTTGGTTACTCAAAGGAAAATTACCGGTAGGATACCTGATTGAGATGAACACAAGCGAGTACATATGAATTCAACGACCCAAAAAGTTATCTGTAGCTCTGTAGCTGGAATATTGCTGAGTGTGGCGTACAACTAGACTCACTCACTCACTCATCATTGTCTGCACAGAGTGGCCAGACTACCAAGGTATTTGATTGTTTGTTAATAAACTCAGCAATATCCCAACTATATGACAGTGGTCTGTAAATAATTGAGTCTGGACCAGACAATCCAGTGATGAACAGTGTCCAGACTGATCACTGGACCTCAAACACATGTCAACAACCTGCAGATCAGTAACAACATATCGGTACGTGTTTTCTATCACTGCAAGAATCAATCAAGATCCTCATCTGATTAACTTTTCACCCACTCACACTGAGCCCGCCAAAAAAACTTGAAGAGTTTTTACTTTTCATTCAAGTACCATTCACTGCTGAAGAGATGGATGTAGGTTTTACATTGAAAGAAAACAACATTCATTAATGTCCACTTTAAAACATAAACAACTATCCCTCATTTGGTCCTATTTTTTTCAAGAAAGATAACACAAGCGCTCCAAGAGCAAAACATGCCTACACTCACCACAACTGAACAGATTACACTTCTTTCCAAGAAAAAATCTAATGAGACCAAAGCGACAGGAGACTACTCAGCTGTTTCGACCACAACTGCAGGTCTGTCTGAGCCAATTAAACACTGACAAATGTCCAATTGACACGCTCCTGCTAATAAGGAGGGATGCAGCAAGTGGCGGAACAATCAACACATGGCAATTGTCTAGGGGCAGACACAGGAGCTGGACGACTCCACACGTCAGACTGGTTGTCCATGTAACAACAGGGAGACCAAGTGATGCCCTACTACCACCAATCCATGGACACAGCATAGATCCAGGCTCTGTAGCTCACCTGTGAAATCCTGTGATTTAAGTTGGATTGGAAATTTGTGAACAAATGTAACAACAGCGAGACAAGGTCCAGGTAGGTTTGTGATGCCCCCCTACAATGAATGCATGGATACAGCAGAAGCTCTGAAGCTCACCTGAATTATTAGGCATTAGGTTGGATTGGAATGTTGTGAAAGAATATAACAGCCAGACAAGGTCAAGGTTGTTTTGTGATGCTCTCCTCACATGAATGCCTGGGCACAATAAAGACACAGGCTCTGAAGCTCACCTGAATTGCTAGGCATTACGTTGGATTGGAGTTTTGTGAAAAAATATAACAGCAAGACAAGGTCCAGGTAGGTTTGTGATGCCCTCCTACAATGAATGCATGGATACAGCAGAAGCTCTGAAGCTCACCTGGATTATTAGGCATTAGGATGGATTGGGGTTTTGTGAAAGAATATAACAAGAAGACAAGGTCCAGGTAGGTTTGTGATGCCCTCCTACAATGAAAGCATGGATACAGCAGAACCCAGGCTCTGAAGCTCACCTGAATTACTAGGCATTAGGTTGGATTGGAATTTTGTGAATAAATATAACAGCGAGACAAGGCCCAGGTTGATTTGCGATGCTCTCCTAACATGAATGCCTGGGCACAGCATAGACACAGGCTCTGAAGCTCACCTGAATTATTAGGCATTCGTTTGGATTGGAATTTTGTGAAAAAAAATAACAGCCAGACAAGGCCCAGGTTGATTTGTGATGCTCTCCTAACATGAATGCCTGGGCACAGCATAGACACAGGCTCTGAAGCTCGACTGAATTATTATGAAATCATAGGCTTTAAGATGGACTGGAATTTTCTGAACAAATCTGGGAAATTGTGATCATGTACACATTGTTTCAGCATAAGCAGCTGCAGAGATGCTGAAGACCACTGAAGATTAGGAGTATGTGAAGGTCTAATATTGTTGATTAGTTATGGCTGGAGGTCTTGATAAAAAAACAAAACACATCAAAATCAATATTTAGTACCATTTAATTGGCATGTATCACATTCTTTCTTGTCCTTATTAACATGCAAATCAAATTTCAGAATTCATACACGTTGAAAAGGCTGAGTATTATGCAGAAGTGTTGCTTTCATTAGGGCTATGACATTGTTCATGTTCAAACTGGAGAAACATGACATCTTGTCAGGGCTCGATTTAGTGCTTTGTTACTTGCACTGGTGAAATAAATCAACAATAACTCAAACATTATAAGCATAAATATGTCAGCTCATATTTCTTCTAAACTTTGAATAACAATGGCACCAAAACCTTGCTATTTATAGACACCTCTTGGCTATGACAGCTCCAGTAAACTGGAACTAGCTGTGTCTCTGTGTTGTTATGGTTTCATGGGTACAACATTATGGAAATATCTTTTTGTGCACCGAAACCTCTGACGTTTCAACACACTACGTTGCAACTAGGACTTAGATTTTGCAGATGACCTAGCGCTCCTAACACAGAGACGCCAGGACATGCAAAACAAGCTGGATGCACTGGGATCTGTCTCAAGCCGAGTTGGCCTGAAGATAAAGAGAGATAAGACAACAGTTCTGAGGACCCAAAACAAACAACAAGATCCATTACAGATCAACGGACAAGTGGTTGAAGACATCACCGAATTCACCTATCTGGGTAGCAAAATCAGCACAACTGGTGGCACTGACGAGGACATCTGAAGGCTAGGATCAGAAAAGCCCAATATGCTTTCACCACATTAAGAACAATCTGGAAAAGCACTGTCCTATCCCTGAAAACCAAGCTCCGGATCTTGAGCTCTAATGTACGCTCTGTCCTGCTTTATGGATTGGAAACGTGGAGAGTAACCAAGACCAGCTCCATCAAAATACAGACTTTCCTCAACAAGTGTCTCCGACAGATCCTCCGCATCAAGTGGTTCGATAAAGACTCCAACCTTGACTTGTGGGAAGCAGCGAATCAAACCCAGTCTCTGCTCAGATCAAGTGACAAAAGTGGCGTTGGATTGGACAGACACTAAGAAAACACAAAACAAATATCACCAGGCAAGCACTTGACTGGAACCCACAAGGCAAGAGGATAAGAGGACGTCCAAAACAGACCTGGAGACGAAGCCTGGAAAAGGAACTGAGGGAAGCCGGTTTAACCTGGGAGGCTACCAAGAGCATAGCCACTGACCGGCAAGCGTGGAGGACAACTGTTGAGTACATTTTGAAAGAATAAGATCATCATGGAAGTGAAAAGGTCAGCTTGTGGTAAAAATTCAACCTTTACACCATGGCGTACATATTGAAAATCTCATTGAAAACCTCTTGAAAAGTATTGTAGAGTCATAATTAGGTGGAACAAAATATGCCATTCAGCTTCTTTGGACTTGTGGCTTGTTAAAGGGAAGACCTTTACGAAAGATAATAGACTGACTCATTTTCAGTAATACCATTCTTGTTTCATGCAGACAGCACACTTCTCATTTATCATCATTTAATTGGTATTTAATAGACTAAGAAGGTAAATATCCCAGATAAATATTTTGATTTTCAAGGTCAAATAAGTAGACAACTTGATACACTCATTTGATACAAAATTCTTGTATAAACAAACAGGTGACAAATTCATAATCATAATCAACAGATAATCAGCTGATCAGCACACCAAGTTGACAATTAGTGAAAATAATTGGGTGAGTAAGTGGGTAGGTAAGTTTGTGAGTGGGTGAGAGGGGTGTGGGGTGTGGTTAAGTGAGTGAGTGAGTGAGTGAGTGAGTGAGTGAGTGAGTGAGTGGGTGGGTGAAGTGAATGAGTGTGGGAATGTGAGTGAATGGGTGAGTGGGAGGGTAAAGGGGCGGAGGGTGAATGGGTATGGGTATGGGTATGACTGGGTGAGTGAGTGGGTGGGTGGGCAAAGGGATGTGGGGGTGAGTAAGTTTGTGGGTGTGGGTAGTTGAGTGATTGAGTGAGTGAGTGGGTGAGTGGGTGGGTAAGGGTTTGTGGGGGTGAGTGAGTGTGTAGGTGTGGGTAGATGAGTGAGTGAGTGGGTGGGTAAGGTGGTGTGGGTAGGTTAGTAAGTGTGGGTGTGGGTATGTGAGTGAGTGAGTGGGTGTAGGTGAGTGAGTTGGTGGGATAAGGTGAGTGAGTGTGCATATGAGTGAGTGAGTGAGTGGGATGAGTGAGTGAGTGAGTGGGTGTGTGAAGCTTAGTGGATGGACTAATACCGCATTTTTCTCATATTAACTTGAAACTGACATAACAGCTTGTCAAGTTAATGACAATAAATGCTGAAGTTATATAAAGGCCTCAGACCTCCATCATTGGGAAACCAACAAACAATGAGACTGAGATGACAAGCCAAGGATCACGTTACGAGTAAAACACTGATCATGTGTACAATCACAGGACACAAATAATGTCTTATTGGTTCAATCAGTCGCAGCGGCCTTCACATCACTTCATTACCCACATCACACCACCGAATATCTGGCTGGGGATTGTTGATGAACTGTTTGTCACACTGTTCTTGGTCAGTTTCTTCTGGTCAAAGTAGCTGCATCATAATAATTGTCTGGGAAGTGTAATAAATGAGACTAATATACACCAAACTATGCTCATAACAAACATGCTTCGAATGAACTGATGTACATAACAACAGCATCAGCATCGATCTGCGTAATTGGGAACCGATGACATGTGTCAACTAAGTTAACGAGCCTGACCACCCGATCCCGTTAGTCACCTCTTACGACAAGCATGGGTTGCTGAAGACCAATTCTACCCTGGACTCTATACATCGTGAGTGTCCCCAGTTCCACTGAACCTACATGACAGCTCATAGTCTACCAGTGGTGGAAGGGCATGTTACTACTCTGGACCAGACAATACAGTTATCAACAGCATGAGCATCGATCTGCGCAATTGGGAACCGATGACATGTGTCAACCAAGTCAGTGAGCCTGACCACCCGATCCTGTAGTCGCCTCTTACGACAAGCATAGTCGCCTTTTGTGGCAAGCATGGGTTGCTGAAGACCTATTCTACCCCGGATTTTCACAGATCAGGAGCTAGAAGAAATAGAAAAAGTCAGTACAGAAGCATACCAAATGACTATCCTCATAAATAGTACAATAACTAAATTTTACTGGCGTCGGAACCAAGTTTGTTAACAACCACTCAATGTCTGAAATAAATAGAGCTTGTTTGTATGGTCTTAATAGCTGCTCAAGGCACATAGTTGCCCAAGGCGCTTATTATGGTAAATACGGCATGTCAGGTTTCTCAGTCAGTTTCCTTCCTACTAAAACAATTTGTATTTACTAGCCAACATCATGATTGCCAAACTTCACTATACGTTTTGGATATTTTCTAAAAAACCCACCTTGCTTCAATCACAGTGCATTTGAGACTCCGCATGACTCAAGCCAGCTCGGATTTGGTTTCAACAAATGACATTCACTTTTGTAGCAACACTATTCTCATCAAGTATTTAATAGGAAGAGAGGAAAGCCTCAGTGAATCGTGTATTCACACATTGCTGACACTACGACTGTACACAATGGTCACATGGTTACTGTCTAAATGAGTTGTCCACCAAGTATCATCTAACTAGGAGTTAATAGGAAAACCCTTATTTGTTGGATGTGAAACTGGCTATTTTTACATCATTCCATTTCCCATAGCTCTCATCAATAGGGACTGCTTTGATCATTAGAGGTGGGGTGCTGATAGGATCCCTGACCCATGTTCTGTTAGTACACTGTCCATGGCAATGTTGGATTTACTGCAAATACAGTATACACAACAAACCCTTGTCGTATTCGTAATCTGCTAAAAGCAGAGGTCATTGTATGATGACAGCTGTATGATGGATATGTGAACATGAATCACTATTAAATAGTGAAGATACTGTTAAAAGGTGAAAATATCCTGAGCCACAGGTGGGACCTGTCACAAATACATGCAAAGGCAAGTCCATAGTGAGTGAGTGAGTGAGTGAGTGAGTGAGTTTAAGCAATATTCCAGCAGTATCATGGCAGGGGACACACGAAATGGGTTCCACAATGTACCCATGTGGGGAATTGAACCCAGCCGACCAAAACACTTTAACTACTAGGCTAACCCACCACCATGTAGGGTATAAAATGGTAGAAGGATAGATAAAATATGTGTGAATGAACCAATGGATGGATGAATGTGGGGATGAATGAGTAGACAAACCGACAGATGAATTGATGGACAGGTGTAAAGGATAATCACACTATTGTTAGAATCCAATAAGAATCTGAAAATACCAACACTCGAAGTACGAAAACTCATTGTAGATTCTTGAGACCACTCTTTGATGTTCCGTGATTCTATACTTCTAAATCATTACATTCAAAATACCAATACTCAAATTTCCACTACCCAATGTAGAGTATTGAGAACATTCTCTGATGTTCCGTGATTCTATACTTCTAAATCATTACATTCAGATCACACTCAGGGAAATATATACATGCCACTACGTAACCACTAGACACCGGACTGTGATAGGTTGTCTTAATATTCCCCCTGAGGTGAAAGCCCTGAATACAAGTCACTCTTGATAACTATCCCCGACTCTATCTACAGTAATTCAGTTGTCAATAATTGATGACTTGTCAATTTCAATTTGAATCCCATCTGGAACCACATTTCCTTTATAATACTGCCAACTTCCTTCTCTGACTGAACCAGAAGTTGGACAGTTCATGTTTGTATTGCCTCCACCAGCACAGGGGGGCAGAGGACCAATTCCAACCCGGAAACCCCACAGGGTACATCTTCATGTCTGCTACCACACCTCAATTAGGATCGCATTCTAGACAGTTGAGAAGGTTCTAATGATTTTTATATTCATTAGGCTACATCTATGGACAATCTCCAATGCTGCTCTTTGCTGCTCTGAGTGAGTTTAGTTTTACGCCGCACTCAGCAATATTCCAGCTATATGGCGGCGGTCTGTAAATAATCGAGTCTGGACCAGACAATCCAGTGATCAACAGCATGAGCATCGGTCTGCGCAATTGGGAACCGATGACATGTGTCAACCAAGTCAGCGAGCCTGACCACCCGATCCCGTTAGTCGCCTCTAACGACTAGCATAGTCGCCTTTTGTGGCAAGCATGGGTTGCTGAAGACCTATTCTACCCCGGATCTTCACGGGTCTTTATCTCTTGTAAGTGGGAGACATGTGGCCCAGTTGTGTACGGAGAATACATTTGTTAGCAGCCACTCTAAGGCATGACTGCAACCAATGATTATGGGTTTGAATCCCGGTTGACTCAGATCATGTCTCAGTGTTTGTAAGCACCATTCCTGTGCTTGTGTGGTTCAGGAAATTGGAAAACATCTGCATCACTTCGGGCTTTCAGTGAAGGAGTGAGTGGTTTTTGATTTGCTATTTTGAACTTTGCTTCAGTTATAATATGCTGTCAGCATAATTTGATAGGAAAACAAGAAGTAAGTTGGACCCATGAAGATTCAAGATACAGAGTTGTGCAAAAAGTATTCGGCACTTGACGTAATATCCATAGACTTACAGGTTAATTTAGTGTAGCTTAAATAATTTTCATGATGTGAGTTTGGGATGGATCTTTGTAAAATTTGACAGGCAAATTTGAAATCATCTCTGCTCTGCGCACATATATTTCAGTTTAATTTTCCGACCACTATTTAACTAATGACATCACATTACATGTATCAACTTATGTATGGTTCCACAATACACAATCCCATAGGCCGCCATGTTAAAGGAGTTCATGGTACTGTACATATGTTGATTAAATTGTTGCTATTCGATAAATAGGCAACGGGAAATTAAACAGAAATTATATGAATGTAGGTTAGATGATTCCTCACAAATGTGCAAAATTTGACTTGGATCTTATGAAAATTAAATTCATGAAAAATATTTATGCTACACTAAATTTACCTAGCTATATGGTCTGTAAATAATCGAGTCTGGACCAGACAATCCAGTGATCAACAGCATAAGCATCGGGTCGCACTTTCCAAAGACGATGCTTTGTGTCAAATATGAAGAAAATACAGTGAATAGTTTGTGAAAACATGTATGTTAACAAACTGAAATATTCAATGTGTCGCTGTGACCTTGAAGAATACATGAAGGTCACCAAAATCGACTGGGCCCTGTCTTCCCCATATGAAGCTTAGTGTCAAATATGAAGAAAATCCAGAGAATGGTTCTTGGGATATCTCGCTGACAAGCTTAACATGCAGGCTAACATGCTGAAATCTTCAAAGTGTCGTTGTGTCACTTTGAAAATTATGTGCGTCTTCCCTGAATGAAGCTTGGTGTCAAATATGAAGAAAACCAGTCTACGGTTCTTGAGATATCTCGCTGACAAGGGTAAAACATTAAAGTCCCCTTGTGACCTTGAATGAAGGTCAAGGTCACCAAACCTGGCTGGAACCTGGTTCTTAAGATATTCAATTTCGTATGTATGGACGTTCGGATGGAGCCTAATACTATATCGCCCTGTAACAACTGGAAGCCAAGGTCCAGGTAGGTTTGTGATGCCCTCCTACCATGAAACCATTTACACAACATAGACCTAGGCCCTGTAGCTCACCTGAATGATTATGAAATCATGGGCTTTAAGTTGGACTGGACATTAGTAAGCACTCTGAAAGACACAACTGTGATAATTTACACATACCCCCGGTAGTTTATTTGTGAGATGCTGTAGACCATTGAAAGTCAGTGAAGATCCGAGCTAGAATGCCATTGAGCAGGCCTGCTCTCATTTCAGTATAAATGTGTTTGTTCACATACAGGAAAAAAATTATGACACATTATATGCAAATTAGCTTGTGGCAGTCCGGGTAAAAACTAGTCTTCATTAACTCATGCTTGTCGTAGGAGGCAACTAATGGAATCGGCTTGCTAACTTGGTTGACACGTCACGTCACGGTATCCCTACTGCACAGATCTATGCTCATGATATTAGTCACTGGATTGTCTGGTACAGACTTGATTACTTACAGACAGCTATCATAATGCTGGTTATTTGTTGAGTGTGGTGTAAAACAAAAAAACAAAATGAAATGAAATAGTTAAAAGTAAGGGTTGGACATTGAGTGAATCTTGGATAAGGGATGTAGAAATCACTCAAGACTTTAAATAGACAGAACAAGCATTGTCACTAAGGTGACATAATCCCCCCGCCACAAATTATCAAATCAAACTTATAGAGTAATGAAAGTTTAAGATGAAGTTAAATGTCAACAAAAACATGACCAGTCAACCTCTCTTGATATCTTGCTCTTTAGTTGTTCAAACACACACGTTTTCAAGACTGACTTTGACCTTGACATGAATGTCATAGTGTATGAAATATGCAAAACTAGTACTAAAAAAATTGCTTATTGAAAAACATTCAAGAGAAATCTTAAAAGTCTATGAAGAAAATCCAGAGAACCGTTCTTAAAATATCTTGCTGACAATTCAGGTTAACATGCTGAAATCTTCAAGGTGTCGTCGTGACCCTAACAATTATGTGAAGGTCACCAAAATTGACTGGGCCCTGGGCCTTCCCTAGATGAAGCCTGGTGTCAAATATGAAGAAAATCCATAGAATATTTTTTTGCAATATCTTGCTGACTATCTTAACATGCAACTTAACGTGCTGAAATCTTCAAAGTGTCTCTGTGACCTTGAAAATTAAGTGAAGGTCACCAAAATCGACTGGGCCCTGCGCCTTCCCTGGATGAAGCTTGGTATCAAATATGAAGAAACTCCAGTGAACGGTTCTTGAAGTATCTTGCTGACAAGAATAACGTGTAGGTTAATATGCTGAAATCTTCAAAGTGTCTCTGTGACCTTCAAAATTAAGTGAAGGTCACCAAAATTGACTGGGCCCTGTACCTTCCCTAGATAAAGCCTGATTTTGAATATGAAGAAAATCCAGAGAATGGTTCTTGAGATAGCTTAACATGCAGGTAAAATGTCCCCTTGTGACCTTGAAATGAAGTTCAAGGTCACCAAACCTGAGTTGGACCTTTCTTATACTGTGATGAAACTATATGAAAATAATCTAGTGAACGGTTCTTAAGATATTCCAATTCGTACGGACGGACGGACGGACGGAGCCTAATATTATATCCCCCGCTTCGCGCTAAACCCGCGGCGGGGGGATAACATTCGTGATAGTAGGAAGATCAGGGTAACTTTCATCACATGGGTACAATGTTTGACCTTCTCTAAACTGTCACAGTCCATAAACCACATTATTGTCCTTTCTGCTTTGCTCTTTATACAATGCTGAAGCTCTAAATGAAGCAAGGGTAGATTTTCTCAGGTTCAGGGCCTGTTATTAGTCCACCACACAGACCCTCAAACAAATATATAAAAGTCTGATGCAAGTAAAAAATACGTGGCAAGTCCCTATTACAGTTCTGAAAATGAAAAGAGTCTCTGGGCTCCTTTTCATCATATATATTTTATTATTATAATTTATAAACCATTTTTTCTGTAAAATATGTTCATTTCAGAGACTAGATGTTAGTCTAGGACGGTTATCATCTGCAAGAAAAATAACCCACTTCAGGGATCAGGTTACAGAGTAAACATTTCAAACTGCCACGGCTGGCTGGATGAGCATCTTCACCCGTGGTCAGGATTGGGGCGTGGTGGGCGAACTGGCTAAAGCGCCAGGCTTGTGATTCAGCGAGCTTGAGGTGAGTGAGTTTAGTTTTACGCCACACTCAGCAATATTCCAGCTATATGGCGGCAGTCTGTAAGTCTTCCCGATGATGTCTCAGGGATTTGTCATCTGCTGGCATTCAACAGTGAGAATTAACACCATGAGTGAGTGAGTGAGCTTAGTTTTACGCCACACTCAGCAATATTCCAGCTATATGGTCTGTAAATAATCATGTCTGGACCAGACAATCCAGTGATCAACAGCATGAGCATTGATCTGCACAATTGGGAACTGAGTCAGCGAGCCTGACCACCCAATCCTGTTAGGCGCCTCTTACGACAAGCATGGGTTACTGAAGGCTCATTCTAACCCGGACCTTCACGGGTAGCTTGAGGTGACGGGATCGAGCCCACCTGTGACCGGGTGTAAAAACCTTGGAGTCAACTTTGCATGCAGACTCTTTCAGTGTTGTCACAACCCCTAGTGAACAGTACACAACCCTGTACACTTAAAAGAACCCACGAATCCGTTGGTAAATGATCAGATAGTAATCCCATGAATACGTGCAAACACCTAGTTGTTGGTACAACAACGTGCAGTAAACTTGGAGAAAGCACTGTGACTATGTGTCCCAGTCCACCCAGCTGTGAATGGGTACCTCGTGAGGATGGGAAAGCCACACTAACTTGGTGCGCCTAGTGGCAGCAAGAGTTGTATGCTCCCCTGAGTTGATATTGATAATACGACATGCCATTGAGGTTGACATCCAGTGATCGAGGCGAAAACCAAGCGCCCCTGAGCAGCTGAACTGGATATTGGCGCTATACAAATGTTTGTATGTATGTATGTATGTATGTATGTGTGTGTGTGTGTGCATATGTGTGTGTGTGCATATGTGTGTGCGTGTGTGTGTGTGTATGTAGGATTCTGTCATCATTTTCATCTGTCAGCTCTTACCTAGCAGCCACAGTGTGAGGCAAAAAACCAATGAGGTGGTCAGATTAGGACTTAGTGCTTTGTATAAGGCAATGTAGGCAGTCTACAATCTTCAATAATGGCAAGTCAAGCTCGCGAATCTGTCTTTAAGTCACTACATGGATAATGGCTCTAATCACAAATATGAACATATAATTGCCTAACTCTTGGTCTTACAGCACAGTGTTCTGTCTATATCTTCTCCACATATTCTCCAAACAGATACATAATTTGGATGTGAGATGTTGACAGCTGCATTAGACTCCATGGAAGGAGCACAGAACTTGACAAAAGGGTCAATAAATAAAGCTATCATTTATTCTCTTATCTGAAGGACGGTGGGGTAGCCTAGTGATTAAGCCTCCATCTGTGAGTGCGTGAAAGTGTGAGTGTCCATGTGCACACGCTTATACTAGCTGGTTTTATATCAAACACAAAATGTAAGAATCTAAATACACATAAAGAAAGTCCCAAGCTCATCAAATTGCCAGAATAACACAGACGCCCTACCTTGACAGCACTCTCGCGGACGCCAACGCTTCCGCTGTCATGGATGGTCTCGTACACCGTCTTGACCATGACGACATCCTCGGTACCATACTCCATGCCCAGCTCCTCCCACACCTCCTGCAGGTCCAAGTGGAAGGGGAAGTACTGCAGGTGCCTGCGATACATCTCCTTGGCCTTCTGAGGCTTCAGGAACAGGTTCTTCGTCTCCTCCAGCTCACGGTCGGTCAGTCGGCCATCAGCAGACGGCGTTACAGTAGACGCCAGGTGGAGGGATACTTTGACGTCGCACGAGTTGATGACAAAGTGATCCTGAACATTTGACGATTTGGTATCAACTGAGGACAGGATCCGGTTCCGAGCCAGGGAGAGGAGGGAGCGGGAAGCATTCCGAGATGGAACCTTGGATAACAAGCTTTCTCCAGAATTGACATCGCCTTCGATGATGACAAGGCTTCGGCAGTTCCTTCGTTTCATCGTGGTTTCAACAGTGTCTGCAGCAGTCGATGTGCTTGGTTCCGGACCAGTGGCTGCATGGGGGATGCTGCTGCAATTACAACACTGTCAATCAGCACAAACGTTTGTAGTTTGGGGTGTCTCTGTTTGCTAACGCTGCACTCAGCAATATTCCAGCTATATGACAGACGCCTGTAAATAAGTCATTACCAGAAAATCCATTTTGGATTTCTTTGTTGTTCAATGCTGCAGTCAATATTAAAACTTGTAGCCACAGCCTATAAATGTTCAAGTTCAAACACACATGGATTGATATTATAGGAATAGTAGGATCACATGATCCACTCTGTCGTCTTCTGTATCCAGCATTAGTTAGTGTGAGATCATTTGAACCTGGATTCAGCACAGGGTTTAGTCCTGGGCTCCGTTTCACAAAGCTATCATAGCGCTTCGACTGACGTAAGCCTATGCTACAGTATGGGAGGTACAACTGCTAGGAAAAAAGTTACGAGATCTTAGGCTTACGAGAGCTTTGTGAAACGGGGCCCAGGATAGTTTGCTCATGAACAATCCTAACCCCGAATCTCCCCAGGACCTTTCACATATACCAAAGGGCAGGATACAACAGAGGTAAACTTATTCCATTATTATGTCTCTCAATCAATCAAATCACACTCCCATGCTGGCTGTTCACTAGGTCTGCAACGATTCGGTTTGATTCATTGTAAATCGAAGCTGACACCTTAGTTTCGATTTTCGATAACCATTATCACTATTTCGCTCCGGTATTTAAATATCTATTTAAATTAATTTCCACCCTGCGAGAACGTAATTTTGACTACAACTCAAGCAGTTTCGAGCACTGAAACAAGGCAAAAAGTGATTGGTTGAAACTGGGCTAATTATCCAATGAGAAGTGTTGTTAGTAGACATCGCCAAGTTGATGATGGATTTAATGCTAAAAAAGCCGACTCTTAGAGTGAAATGAAAACTGATGTTTCTACTTGCATGAAGAATCGAATCGGAAATAATCGAACTGAGGGTCCAATATCAAAAATCAAATCGAATCGAGGTCTAGGTGAATCGTTGCAGCCCTACTGTTCACATGTTCTAATCAGACCAACTAACACAAACACGTTTTCACTAAATGACTGGTCCCATCATTTAATGGCTGAAATGATGCCACTGCGACATTGAATTTTTTACTCAGTGACAATACTGAATGCTCTCATGTGTCATGTGACCTCAACTGACCTATCAGCTGCGACTTCCACTTCCTCCACGACAACCATGTCACTTTCAGGCACCACTGGCTGCGTTGAGGTTTCTGTGGATGTTGAAGCAGACGTGGAGATGAATGTTGAAGTTGAGGCTGATGTGGAGGATGACACTGCCATGGACACTGATGAAGATGCCAACACAGATGTTGACACTGAAGCATGTGGTCTTGTTGTTGACGTCTGGGACGGTGCTAACCGGGTCTGAGTCTTCCCTCGTCCGACCGGATCCTTTACCAAACCCACTTTATCCACAATAAGAATGTCTTCTGGGATACGCAGGCAGAAGTCAAGCTGGAATTAAGATGGAGGGTCACAATACCAGCATGTCCAGTAGGCAAAGGTACACTTACATGATTCTGTAGCAAACCTGGCATATGCTTATCTACCAGTGAGTGAGTGAGTGAGTGAGTGAGTGAGTGAGTGAGTGAGTGAGTGAGTGAGTGAGTGAGTTAGTTTAGTTTTACGCCACACTCAGCAATATTCCAGCTATATGGTGGCGGTCTGTACATAATCAAGCCTGGACCAGACAATTAAGTGATTAACAGCATAAGCATTGATCATTGAGTGAGTGAGTGAGTGAGTGAGTGAGTGAGTGAGTGAGTGAGTGAGTGAGTGAGTGAGTGAGTGAGTGAGTGAGTGAGTGAGTGAGTGAGTGAGTGAGTGAGTGAGTGAGTGAGTGAGTGAGTGAGTGTGGTTTTACGCTGCTTTTTGCAATATTCCAGCAACATCACAGATGGGAACACCAGAAATGGGCTTCACAATCTACAATTGAACATACAAGGCATGGACAGTGTAAGCTAAATTAAACTACAAGTTTGCAATAGTTTACAAGTTTGGAATATTGTTTAATGCTTAACACCACACTGAGCAATATTCCTTTTATACGGTAGCAGTCTGTAAATAATCAAATCTGGACCAGACAATCCAGTGATCAGCATGATGGGCATCAATCTATATGGGATAAGATGACATGTATCAATCAAGTTAGCAAATATGACCACTTGATTCAGTCACCTTTACGACAAGCATGGGTTGATGAAGACCAGGGCCACTTTTCACAAACTAAGATCAGTAACTTTTCAGAGCATTCGTACTCCTATGTTACAGTATAGGAGGACAAGCAGAAAAGTTACGAGATAATTTAGAGCTGTGAAACAGGGCCCAGGGACCCTATCCACAAAGCATTCGTAATGTTATGACTTGACGTAATTCTATAGTTTATCATAGGCTAGCGCTCAGATCTTCACGTTGTATATTGTAAAATGAACATTGGGAGAAGATGACAAGTCTTTGTCTAGTGGAAGTTTGGTACTGACCTTCTTCATTGCAAACAGTCCACAGATTGTGGCAACATGTCCCCCCAGGTAGTCGCCGGTCTCTCCCCCCAGCTCCACCCCATCACTGACTCCGTCGGTGTACACCTGGACTATCTTGTCCAGCATTGTGTAGCTCTGGGTGAACAGGTTTGCTGGGTACCGGGAGTGGAAGTTCCAGTAATACCTGCAAGTGGTCATTACATCAATGTGGGGGTGGTTTTTGTTTGCTATATAAAAACAGACAAGGTGAGGTGAGGTGAAATGGGGTTTAACGTCATACTTGGAATATTTCCCTTCTATGATGACGTGCATGCGTGTGTATGCGTGTTTGCTTGTACTAGCCCAGACTTAAGCTGGTTTTATAGTACAAGCTCACTGAGGTACTCTGCTCAGTGAATTGTAGACCCTCACACCTGCGGATACAGGAAGTAAGCAACAATAAACAATACTTCACAATATCTTTCATTACAACTAAAGGTTCAAAAGTAGACTGATTATTAGTCTGTCTCACAGTCCCTGAACCACATTATTTTCTCTACTGCTAAGCTCTCTCTGCAGTGCTAAAGCCCTAAATAAAGAAAGTCTCGATTTCCTCAGGTTCTGAATCTCTGGTCTCCCCGGGGCTCCTTTTCAATTTAAATAGGCTTGTTTGTTACTATCAAACTTATATATATTCAGAGACTAAGCATTAGTCTAACTGATAATGTGAAGTGGCAATAAAATACTACCAGTGAGAGAATTTACAGGAGCTTCAATAACCAATGCACCAAGAAAACAGGAATATTCAAATGAACAGATCAACTGACGGTCCACCAAGAGTGACCTCCCTTGGAATGTATGCTTCCGCAAAGTACTGTTGTAACTTTGGAGTGGGTAGGGGGATTGTGTTTGTTTGTTTGTGGCTTAAATTGCACAAAGTTCCAATTACCATGACATCAGCCTGAAAATACTGTCCAGACCAAACGATCAAGCAACAAATATTGTGAGCAAAGATCCCAACTGGTATCAACCAAGTCACCAAGTCTGACCACCAATCCATTTGATAGCCTCTCATGACCAGCAGAGGTTGATTGGTTTAGTATTACGCCGCTTTTAGCAATATTCCAGCAATATCAAGGCAGGGGACACCAGAAATGGGCTTCACACACTGTACCCATGTGGGGAATCGAACCTGGGTCTTTGGCGTGATGAACAATGCTTTAACCACTAGGCTACCCTCACCCAATAGATAGAAGAGAAACCTTACTTCTGTGTGAGCTTCTTGTGCGCAACTGCTGTGACAAACTGGCGCTTCCTGATGTGATTCGGGTTGTCCTTCTGGAATGAAAAGCAACATCATTCTGAAATGACAGCTAAAGGGGAAGTGTTAATTGCAGGAAACACATGGATGGTTGGGTTGTTGCAAGTAGACCACGATTATGAAATGCCAATGCCATTCTAGAGGGTGCTGGCAGTCTAGGGTCTGACTTTGTCTGCTGGCAATTAAGTGCCTGACTCAACTCAAGAAATTAAAAGAAAGGAAAAAGTACTAGAATCTTTTTACTAAGAAAGAGTAATCCCAAATATAACATATGTTCCATCATTCAGAAGCTTTATCGTTTCTAAAACATATAAAATAGGGATGTCAGAGTAGGAAAAAAGGCAAACACGAGAAACTTGTGTTGTAAACATGCCGTTTTACTGTTACTGTAATCATACAATGTATAACATAATTAACCAGTCCGAATAATTTAGAGGGTGCCCATGTCCTATTCTAGACCAATCCGATCTGAGTACCCAAGTTACCCATCCTTGCCCTAAACTACACTCACTTCCATTTCCCTCAGTTTTTCCATTCTTTGGCAGCTTGAAATGTCAGACAAAGGAAAACTTTAACTGAGTAGAAATGTCAACAAGGGAGTATTATCATGACTTCAGACGTCACTAACTACAAACAGGTCAGTATACGAGATGTCGCTTTACCTTGACCTTGGTGATGAGTCCCATCTTGTTCATGTCGTTGAAGACCTGGGCCAACAACTCATCCGGGTACTGCTTGAAGAGGCGAAACATCTCGTATGCTCGGCCTTGCTTGTCCTTCTGTGCTGATATGTAAGACTGGCAAGAGATGTAAGAGTGCCATACTGATTCATTTATAGCTTATTCTTTGAATTAGATAGAATATATTTATCTTTTTGTCATGCATGAAAAATGTAACATGTCAAGAGTACAGTTAAATATAACTGAAACATCTGATATTCCCTTCCATATGGAGAGCTTTATGGTTGCTCCCATTCAATGCTCATGTAAATATATATGGTTCTGCAGGGTGTGAAGTGTGTGTGACTCTCATATGTGAGTTTTTTCAGCATGTGCCATGGATGTGACTCAGATGTCTCAGGTTTTGCACGGTGTGATGTATATGTGACTCACACGTCTAATAATCTGCAGGGTGTGAAGTATATGTGACTCACATGTATCAGGTTCTGCTGGGTGTGACTCACATGTCTTGGGTTCTACAGGGTGTGAAGTATATGTGACTCACATGTCTCAGGTTTTGCAGGGTGTGACGTGTATGTCACTCACATGTCTCAGGTTTGCAGGGTGTGAAGTATGTGACTCACATGTCTCAGTTTTGCATGGTGTGAAGTATATGTGACTCATATGTCTCAGGTTTTGCAGGGTGTGACGTGTATGTGACTCACATGTCTCAGGTTTGAAGGGTGGGAAGTATATGTGACTCACAAGTGTCAGGTTCTGCAGGGTGTGCAGCATATGTGACTCATGCTCAGGTTTTGCAAAGTTGGAAATATATGACTCACATGTCTCAGATTCTGCAGGGTGTGGAGCAACTGTGACTCACATGTCTCAGTTTCTGCAAGGTGTGATGTGTATGTGACTCACATGTATGAGGTTCTGCAGGGTGTAAAGTGTGTAAGACTCACATGTATGAGGTTCTGCAGGGTGTGATGTGTATGTGACTCACATGTATGAGGTTCTGCAGGGTGTAAAGTGTGTAAGACTCACATGTATGAGGTTCTGCAGGGTGTGATGTGTATGTGACTCACATGTATGAGGTTCTGCAGGGTGTGATGTGTATGTGACTCACATGTATGAGGTTCTGCAGGGTGTAGTAGTACACATCCTTCTCCCTTGTGACTTCCATCGCCTGCTCTTTCGAGGAGATTGGTCCAGCCACCTTCACAATGTAATTTTCCCTTAACTCCGTCAGGGTGTCCGGCAGGATTATCTTCTCCTGTCCACCAGACCTGTCAGGTAGAAGGCAACCAAATTTAGCCACATCAATTCCAGGCACTCATCCTACCATGAAACATGTCTAAAACAGTTCTCATTAGTATATTTATGCTTATATTCTCCAAGAAAACACTTGGGCTGAAAGAGGGAGACTGATTTAATATTACACCAAACATATCACTGTGCCCCGAAGGCACCACAAACATGGAGCATCAAAACATAGGTTTGAAGCTGTACATGAAAAGGAAACTTGGCAATTTAGGGAAATGAAGGCATGATCATCAGATCCTGACACTGACACTGGACATAAGTGCTGTATTAAGGACATAACTCTGACACCAATAGTGAAATGAAGTTGATCATCAGTGACACTGATGTATTAAGAGCTACCTGAGTTCATCAGCATCTGGACACAAATAGTATCATTTAGTCAAATTAATTAACTTACGTGAATTTGTCAATGAGCATCTGGACACATCCCTTGAAGATTTCCCTGATGTCCTTTTCCACAGATTTGAATGCTCGGTATCCATACTTCTCCATCAGCACCTGAGGGAGGTCAGCACAGAGGTCATTACAGAGGTGAGGACCTTCATACAAAGGTCATCACAGAGATGAGTGAGAGAGTGAGTTTAGTTTTACGCCGCACTCAGCAATATTCCAGCTACATGATGGTGGTCTGTAAATAATTGAGTATGGACCAGACAATACAGTGATCAACAACATGAGCACTGATCTACGCAATACGATGACATGTGTCAACCAAGTTTGTGAGCATGACCACCCGATCCCGCTAGTCGCCTCTTACGACAAGCATGGGTTGCTGAAGATCAGTTCTAACCCAGACAAGAGATTGACAGAGGCATGAAAGGACAATAAGTTGAGTTACTACACAACTTTGGTGAGTGGTTCCGTTTGCTTCAGTTACCCCTCAAACAGTATGCCTGTTATTCAACTTCATGTTTGAGGAAAGCCTGGTTGAAAGAGAACAAGGGTGGATTTGGTATTTAACCAATGACCAGAACATCCCAGTAAGAGTAATTTATACAACAGGGAGGAGTGCTTTGTGTTATTGGTATTCGATTGAGGGGTATTGGGAGAGCTGAAATTGACAAAAATCAAAACACACACACACAAAATTTTGCATTAGATTTACAACAGCCAAATTCAGTCTCTCAGCATAAATACCCACTACCCATTCTCTGAAGACTGACTGACTGACTGAGTTTGGTTTACGCTACTTTTAGCAATATTCCAGCAACATCACGGCGGGGGACACCAGAAACGGGCTTCACACATTGTGCCCATGTGGGGATTCGAACCCGGGTCTACGTCGTGACAAGCCAATGCTTTAACCATTAGGCTACCCCCCCGGCCCCATTCTCTGAAGAACATTCAATAATCAGACACCGAGAGATGATGTCGAACCTAAGAACTGGAACTGATGTACGAACAAAAAACACACTGCTTCAGAAATCCTCCAGGGTTAGAACTCAACTTTTTAAAGCACAACTAAAAGGCTGCTTGTGACTTTTTAAGCTACAAGCTAAATGAAATTTCAATAAGCAAAAACATAAAAATAATTCCTTACCCCCGATTCCACACCACTTTCCCCTTCACACTTCCGCTTTATGTAGTTTGTTATCATATTATTTGTATTTATGCTCGATCATAAATGACAAATTTGACAAATGCATGCCGTTGCTAAGGTCCGCCATCATTGAATCGGAAAATCCAGATGTTATACAAAGAATGCAATTGGCTATAAGTTCCGTGGATTTTATATTCGGAATCCTTCGTTAATTGTCGTCAATAAATTAAGGGAAGTTACTCCAAACTGAGTATGATGATGCATTTATACGACCATTTTCACAATTTTACTGATGTAAATCAACAAAAACACAGGCCACTGAAAAAATCAACACTAAAAAAAACACTATTATGAAGTTTTAAATGCATTTAGCGTATTAGCGTCCATTAATTTCAACCCTTGTCCTCCACACTTGTCGTACGTACCTTGTCCTGATGAGCTTCTCCCAGGTAGATGGACACACTCATCATCGTCTGAGGGTTTTTCATCCCAAAAGCCACCCGTCTTTGGCAAGCTGGGGAGGACTTGTCTTTCGACTCCTGCAGATAAATAAAATTTTATTAAAAAAACATTAAACCTAAACAGGTGCAATCTTATTTACCTGAGCATAAAAATGGAAGTACCTATTTCTTGAACTATTGGAGATAGTCCCCAAGCTCAAATTAGATGAACATGTCCTGCTTGACACAGAAAATACCCATCATGAGTCAAGGTCAAGGTCAAGGTGAAGATAACCATAGAGACAGTGAAGATTGAAAGCTATGATTGTACTTTTAAAGACAAGTACTTTTCTCTCAAGTATTCTATCTTGTTGATGACAACATTTGAAATCTGTGTCTGCTCTTTCCGTTTAACTTTGTATTCTTGGGCAACAAGGAACAAAAATTAGTTCTTAAATATGTAGGAACAATGAATAATAGGTAACATTTTCATGTCCGGTTCTGCTAACAATCAACTTCTGATCATTCAATTTCATGACAAGTCTGTACTCACAGGGACAGATTCATGCAGGATGTCGCGGACTACTGTCCACGGGACGATCATACTGCGACGATGGCGGGCCAGAAGCAAACTTGCCGTCTTGCACAGCAGTATCTGTAGGAGGTGGAGATACATGTAGAGATCCAACTAGATACACTTAACCCAACACCTTCCCCCTTCCTCAACAAACATTCAACACTTGCCGTCTTGGTGAGGAAGAGATACATGTACAGATCCAACAAGATAAACTTCACCCAACACCTTCCCCTATCCTCAACAAACATTCAACACTTCATCCATTACACCACCCACAGGAACACTCTCTGACCTGCCATTTGACCTACCGACCCACATTACCCAACCTCTGAACCACTGACATACAAGACTCTCATTTCCCAGCCATACCCCAATGAATTGCCTTAAATCACTCATAACACCTCCTTTAAGGAACGTCAGCACCCCAGCCCACCTTCACTGTCCAAAACCTAACCACAAACAGAAACATGGAGACAGACACACACTCACATCGCTCCATACCCCACCCTACATGAACCACATCCCACAGCCCACCTGCACTGACCAATATTATCACACATAAACACAGACACAGACAGACACACAGACTCACATCGCTCCATACCCCACCCTACATGAACCACATCCCCCCGCCCACCTGCATTGACCAATATTATCACATAACCACAAACACAGACAGACACGCAGAATCACATCGCTCAATATCCCACTCAACATGACCAACATCCCACAACCCACCTACACTGACCAATATTATCACACATAAACACAGACACAGACACAGACAGACACACAGACTCACATTGCTCCATACCCCTCCCTACATGACCAACATCCCACAACCCACCTACACTGACCAATATTATCACACATAAACACAGACACAGACACAGACAGACACACAGACTCACATCGCTCCATACCCAACCCTACATGACCAACATTCCACAACCCACCTACACTGACCAATATTATCACACATAAACACAAACACAGACACAGACACAGACAGACACACACACTCACATCGCTCCATACCCCACCCTACATGACCAACATCCCACAACCCACCAACACTGACCAATATTATCACACATAAACACAGACACACAGACTCACATCGCTCCATACCCCACCCTACATGACCCACCAACACTGACAATATTATCACACATAAACACAGACACACACACTCACATCGCTCCATACCCCACCCTACATGACCAACATCCCACAACCCACCAACACTGACCAATATTATCACACATAAAAACAAACACAGACAGACACACAGACTCACATCGCTCCATACCCCACACTACATGACCAACATCCCACAACCCACCTACACTGACCAATATTATCACACATAAACACAGACACACACACTCACATCGCTCCATACCCCACCCTACATGACCAACATCCCACAACCCACCAACACTGACCAATATTATCACACATAAAAACAAACACAGACAGACACACAGACTCACATCGCTCCATACCCCACACTACATGACCAACATCCCACAACCCACCTACACTGACCAATATTATCACACATAAACACAGACACACAGACTCACATCGCTCCATACCCCACTCTACATGACCAACATCCCACCTACACTGACCAATATTATCACACATAAACACAAACACAGACAGACACAAAGACTCACATCACTTAATCCCCCACCCTACATGACCCACATCCCCCCCGCCTACCAATATTTTCCAGCCATGCACACTCAGACACACCCAGACACACTGACACGAATGTGACACTATGACGGTACTCACAATGGTGTCTTCCCGAGCTGTCCAGGTCACCCGCTCCTGAATCATCATGCCCAGAGCCGATCGGTCAATGTCGTCATAGGTACGCTTACCTGGTACATACAACAACATGAGTGAGTGAGTGAGTGAATCTCAGTTATTTCTTACAATACAGAATTTTCTTTTGTTCAAGTTTCAAAATTTGAAGCAATTGTTTTCTTTGACAGTCTGCAAGGTGGCCAATTTGAAAACTTCTTCTTTCTGGTTGGTCAATGTTGACTTCATGTTAATAATTTCATCGGTCAGTCAAAGTTTGAGAAAGTTCTGACATGACCTGTAGTACAATGTCCTCAGATGTTTAGTTGTCATGAGAACACCACTCATGATATAGACACCGACAACACATGCTTCACACACTGAGAATCATTATCATCTGATGAAGAGTTCACTGAAACGTGACAGCACCAGCAACAAATTGAAGGCCAAATTCAAGGAATTTCCAAAGTATGTCTTCCAAATTGTAGGGCAGTTTGAGATGTGTAAGTTAGTGAATGTGTGAGTTGCTTTCAACAATGCATTTAGCAATATTTCACCAATATTAAAACACCAGGAATGGGCTCCACACATTGTGAGCATGTGTGGAATCGAACCTGGGTCTTTGGCATGATGAGCAGACATTTTAACCACTGTGCCACCCCATGACCGTCCACGGCTCTGCCAAACACCTGTACTTACGCATCCTGTCTTCAGGCTGCTTCTTCGTCCTGAGCTTCCTGTTTTTGTTAGAGATCCTGAAAGCAGTCCTCAGCTTGGGGATCTTCATCTTCTTCACACCTGAGTCCATGCAAACAATAAAACAGGGGTAGACGATGTCGAGATACAGTTCTGAAGTGGCTCAAAATTGTTTAAGCAGCAGTTACCATATCCTAGTCATATTACAAACAAAGACAGTGATCGTAATGAACCAAGATGGTTCAAAACACAGCAGCAAGAGTCATCAAAAGAACAAGAAAGTTCGAACACATAACACCCATGCTCAGCGAACTGTACTGGCTTCCAGAAGGTATCGGATACTGTTCAAGATCATTGTTCTTGTGTTCATGAAACAGTGCCTGGTTATCTCTCCAGTCTGATTCACCAGTACCAGCCATAAAGGTCACTAAGATCAGATGACCAGATGCTCTTACAGGTGCCAGTTACGTGCACAAAAACATTCGGGACATACTTGTGGAACAGCGTACCATCTGTCATTCGATCACAGACCCAATTGTGTACATTTAAGTCAACACTAAAGACGCACTATTACAGCCTCGCATACTTTTTTCTTGTGTGCGTGAGTGTGTGTGTGTGTGTGCATGCGTGCGTGCAAGAGAACACCTACCAGCGATTACATTTAGCAATAACCCCCCAAACATATTTGAAATTCTGCTACCCCTTTGAATATCTTAGGATGACAAAACTGGTCCAGGCCAGCGGTTTAGTGTCAATTTCTCAACCTGTAATGTTGGGGACCATTCCATTTTAGCGCTGTATTGGTCTTAAACCCATGCTAAAGAATGAGGTTTAAGATCACCTCAGGGTTAAGATCACCCTGGAATATACACAACTAAGTGGCTACAGGATGGTCCAGTTTGACCATTTTTTAACTAAAATTAATCAGCAATAATTATTTGTGACTGAATCACTGCAATGCACAAGAAAAAAAGACTTTGAAAAAATGTTTGAAAAACTTGTGTTAGCCACAATAAAATGGAGATAGCAAAGTTCAGTTTTACATTTCAATTCCCTCTTGAAACAAATTTGAACTTTAAAGTCGGGACATTCCTGAGAGAGATGAGCAGAAAGTGCTTACTATCAGCAGGTTTGTCAAGGGGTTTCCTCTTGATCCCCTTCCCACCCCGGTTCCCCCGGGGCTTCTTGGTCACGGTTGGTTTAGCATCTTCAGCTGGGGACAGGAAAACAAAGTACAGTAAATATATAACATATGTAATATATAATACATTTGTAGAGCATCTAATATCCAAGAGCAGACATTTTTACCCCGATTAACCCAAGCTGCCTGTGAGGTACTAGAAGGTTAACAGTCATATGACCATCTTATCCCACCGGGTACCCATTCACTGCTTGGTGAAAAGAGGCAACTTTGAACAAACTCCCTTGCCTAAGGTGAGACCACATGCGTCACATGTATGAACAAGATGGAGGTGTATGACAGTTACAAGAGTTGTTAGTTCAGCAATATTCCTGCCATTTAAATCAGGTACCATTATGTTGAAATTACGGTTGGCCTGAAGTTTGTTCCGTTCTTATTCCTTCCTTCAGGTATAATTCTAATGTCCTTCCACCTTATGTTGAGTTTGATGCAGAAGGTATAGTCTGTTTGACTCATTTGAGACCTATGAATTTCTCACTAACACAAAATCTAATAAATGCAACACAATCAAATTTTGCACAGTCACATGAAATCGAAAGACCAACTCTGATGATTTGTCTCATAATTTTGGACACCCGAATAACAAAATTCTTTAACTAACTATCATTATTTTGTTGTCACTTTTCGCTATTTCTTACGAGGGAGGACCACTTGCAGGTAGAACAGCCAGATAATCAACAAGCGTGTGCAATGAAATTTCAGTTTCACACGAACAACTCAGACACCTGGCTGTTCTGCCAGCAAGTTTTATGTTTTTATATATGTATATATGTTTTTGATACTGTTAATAATTCATAAGGGTAGACATAGTTAATTAACAACTACGCCATTATTGCCAACCATTGTCAATAGAAGAAGTAATGTTGGACATTTATTCCACTTTCTCATCAGTTGGTAAAATTGCCACAATGTTCTTTCTCAGTACCAAATATCTGGGTTTGACATAACAGGTCTGACATAAGATGACATGTATAAACCAAGTCAGCGAGACTGACCATCTGAGCCCGATCAGTCACCTTTTAAAACAAGCATGGTTGCTGAAGACCAATTCTAACCCGGATCTTCATGAGTCCATGGCTACTCAAATTCATGATGAATCGGTAACTTCAATGTGGACCAAACAGGTAAATGGCAACTCGCAGATCATTTTAGATAAAATTAGGAAACCTGATGTCTACGGTCTGATTATCAAGTCAGTAATGCAGCAAAAACGGATTCAGTCGAGAATGATGTAGACCATATCTGGAGAATAGGGTCCAAATAATGAGAACAGGGTCCAAATATTGAGAACAGGGTCCAGATATTGAGAACAAGGTCCAAATAATGAGAACAGGGTCCAAATATTGAGAACAGGGTCCAGATATTGAGAACAGGGTCCAAATATTGAGAACAGGGTCCAGATATTGACAAGGTCCAAATATTGAGAACAGGGTCCAGATATTGAGAACTGGATCCAGATATTGAGAACAAGGTCCAAATATTGAGAACAGGGTCCAGATATTGAGAACAAGGTCCACATATTGAGAACAAGGTCCAAATATTGAGAACAGGGTCCACATATTGAGAACAGGGTCCAGATATTGAGAACAGGGTCCAAATATTGAGAACAGGGTCCAGATATTGAGAACATGGTCCAAATATTGAGAACAGGGTCCAAATATTGAGAACAAGGTCCAGATATGGAGATGTCAATACAACTGACAAAGTTAAGACAACCACATTTGGTATGACCATGGGGAAACTGCATCAACGAACCTTAACCTGATTTACATTGTGTGTGTAAACACATCACTGAAGAATACCGAGTGCTACTTACTGAAAGGTCCCATCATGCCCAGCTGTTGTTGTGGGATCAATCGTGGTAGTCGCTGGCTGAGAGACGTGGACAGGAACTTCAACCTCCCACCTTCATTCCTCTCTTGAACACCTGTTTCTGAACACAGTAAGGCCAATGAGTGATACAGGTGTTCATTATATGCAAGACATCATGGATCTGTCTGTGTTGGGTATCAGTGCTAAGTTATTGTAATAGTGAGTGAGTGATTGAGTATGGATTTACACTGCTTTTAGCAATATTCCACGGCAGGTGACACCATAAATAGTCTTCACACATTGTACCCATGTGTGAAATCAAACCCAGGTCTTTGAGCAAACGCTTAAACCATTTGGCTACCCCACCACTAAAAAGGCCTTAGTCCGGACAGGAACAAGCATCTATGCACACAGGTGTATGCAGATTGCTATAATAAGTAAATAATCTTGAACTCAGCCCAATAACCAATCCTCAATTTGGTCAAACCTATGTCTGACGTGAGACACACCGGACACAGCACTGAGCATGTTTGTGAGTGAGTGAGTTTAGTTTTACGCCGCACTCAGCAATATTCCAGCTATATGGCGGCGGTCTGTAAATAATCGAGTCTGGACCAGACAATCTAGTGATCAACAGTATGAGCATCGATCTGCGTAATTGGGAACCGATGACATGTGTCAACCAAGTCAGCGAGCCTGACCATCCGATCCCGTTAGTTGCCTCTTATGACAAGCATGGGTTACTGAAGATCAATATTCTAACCCGGACCTTCACGGGTCCCTTGCAATCTAAGTCTGAACACCTGATATATACTTTCTTGTACCTCTTGTACAAGTACATGGGGACATGTTCTAACCCAGAGTGCCACAGGACAAGAGAGTCTGAAGTTCTGTCTTGGATATAATGCTTACTCTTTTTGTTCGTCCGCTGTGCTGCTCTCCGCTTGACCAGTTCATTGTGAGTGTCTGGCTTTTTCCGTCTCACATCCCCCGGACGTGACCAGTTCCGGATTAGGTGTCTGGACAACAACAATGATGTTTATAGGCCATGTACAATTCAAGTACAATATGAAAAGTGTTTGTACAAATAAGGCCCAAACAAATTTACAAATTCAACCAAGTATATTTTATTATAATTTCAACCCAAAAATCTAGCTACATGACACCCTACTCCACAATTTACTGTGCCAACGTTCCTACAGATGAACAAAATACAGACGACAACAGTGAGGGAATGAGGTGGGATAAAACCAGCCTTAAACCAGCCTTAGGATTTCAGTTATATCACAGAGTGTAGTGAGTGAGTCAGGTTAGTTCTACGCCACACTCAGCAATATTCCAGCTATATGGCGACGGTCTGTAAATAATCGAGTCTGGACCAGACAATCCAGTGATCAACAGCATGAGCATCGATCTGCGTAATTGGGAACCGATGACATGTGTCAACCAAGTCAGTGAGCCTGACAACCCGATCCCTTCTTATGACAAGCATGGGTTACTTAAGGCCAATATTCTAACCTGCACCTTCACGGGTTCACAGAGTGTAAGTTTGATGTGGGATGAGTGAGTGAGTTGGGTTCATGAGGTGGGATTAACATGGCCTTAAACAGTATTCCAGTTATAGCACAGACTGTCAGCTTAATTGTGGGAGGAAAGTCAAACGTGATGCAGATCCAGCGTGCGAAATAGCCACAGCCACTAGCCCGCTAGCATGTAGCTAGTAAAAATCCAGTCGGGACAGTAAATCTCCATAGTCACTGGCCCGACTGGCTAGTGAATTTTCATGGGGTCATTTTGTAAATAAATCATTCTCTCCGACTTGTAATAATACACTTTTAAATCATGCAAAATTATGGCCTGATAAAAATGTTCATCATATTAACAGCTTAATGATGGCTTGTTTAAGTTATTTGAGCATAAACAAAATATTTAGGAAATTCAGACATGTGTTTTCTTATTTATTTTTTTTAATGGTATTTTACCTTTTTGAAATCTTTTGCTTAGTTTCTACATTCAAATTTCAGGCTAGTGAATTATTTTTCAGGCATAGCTAGCCTAATTGGCTAGGAAAATTTGGAAACTATTAGCACAGTGTGCAGATCTCAGACATCTATATAACCCTTGAGCATGGTTCTAACAAACACAGAAACACAACTGCACCAAACCAGGCTTCAAACCAACAATCATGGACTTCTGGCACCATCAAAACAGGAAACTCTTTACAGTGAATTTAGACAAATGGGTCAGTCATGCAAACGTTGAAACTGTCGGAAGTCAATACTGGTCATTCAGCCGTTATGGGTAATATTACAAACTACCTACCCACCTGTCTGAGTGTCGTAACTCTTGAGTGTGTATCAATGAACTTACAGAAACAAACTGGAGTCGAAGCCTGCTGCGCCACGCCTGTCCCCCGGGAGATAAGGGGTTGGGGGGTCCTCCTGGAACTTGACGTTAGTCAGGGCGTCCACCAGAGAAAAGCTGGGCTCTGTGTCGTCTTCGTTGTCCAGTACTGGAGTATGGGGAGAATGAGATTGTACACCAGGAAATGTCATACTTCAGTGCAGTGATGATGTAATGAGTGAGTGAGTTGGGTATTATGCTGCTTTTAGCAATATTCCAGCAATATCACAGCGGGGGACACCCGAAATGGGCTTCACACATTGTACCCATGTGGGGAATCGAACCCGGGCCTTCGGTGTGACAAGTGAACGCTTTAACCACTAGGCTACCCCACCGTCCCTTGATGACTTAACATGACACCACTGCCACAAGCTAATTTGCATATGATGTGTCGTGACTTTTGTCCTGTACCCGTGTTAGGAATCGAACCCAGGCCTTTGGTGTGACTATGTCTACAACACCAAAAACTACTCCACAACACCAACAACAACATCCCAAACACCAACAACATCCACAACACCAACAACAACATCCACAACACCAACAACAACATCCAAAACACCAACATCCACAATATTAACAACATCCACAATACCTACAACATCCACAACACCAACAACAACATCCCAAACACCAACAACATCCACAACACCAACAACAACATCCACAACACCAACAACAACATCCAAAACACCAACATCCACAATATTAACAACATCCACAACACCTACAACATCCACGACACCAACAACATCCACAACACCCACAACACCAACAACAACATCCAAAACACCAACAACAACATCCAAAACACCAACATCCACAATATTAACAACATCCACAACACCAACAACATCCACAACACCAACAACAACATCCACAACACCAACAACATCCACAACACCAACAACAACATCCACAACACCAACAACAACATCCACAACACCAACAACAACATCCAAAACACCAACATCCACAATATTAACAACATCCACAACACCTACAACATCCACGACACCAACAACTATATCTGCACCACCAACATCCAAAACACCAACAACACCAACAACATCTACAACACCTACAACACCAACACCAACATCCAAAACACCAACAACATCTACAACACCTACAACATCCACGACACCAACACCAACATCCAAAACACCAACAACATCTACAACACCTACAACATCCACGACACCAACACCAACATCCAAAACACCAACAACATCTACAACACCTACAACATCCACGACACCAACATCCAAAACACCAACAACACCTACAACATCCACAACACCAACACCCAAAACACCAACAACAACACCTACAACATCCACGACACCAACATCCAAAACACCAACATCTACGACATCAACTACATCTACAACACCAACAACATCCACAACACCAACAACAACATCCACAACACCAACAACATCCACAACACCAACATCTACAACACCAACAACGACACCCACAACACCAACATCTACAATGCCAACACCAACAACATCCACACCACCACCACCAACATCCACACCACCACCACCAACATCCACAACACCACCACCAACAACCACACCACCACCACCAACATCAACATCCACTACACCAACAACATCCACACAACCACCACCAACATCCACACCACCAACATCCACACCACCACCAACAACACCAACATCCACAACACCACCACCAACATCCACACCACCACCACCCACAACACCAACATCTACCAACAACAACATCCACAACACACAACAACATCCACAATACCAACACCTATGTCTACAACACCAACAACTACATCCACAGCACTTACCTCCCTTGTAACCAAGGTTGGAGTTGAGGGCTGTGACCTCCATGTCACACCAGTAAGTGTGCACATCCTCATCTGTGTCGAGAGTGTAGTACTGTTCCTTGAAGGGTATTTCAAATTCAGGGGTGGTCTTGCAGTAGGCAATGATGGATGTCCTGGTGTCGAACAGGAGAGCCTTCTTGTGTAGGAACGCAAAACACTGCAGGGAAGCAATGGTATTTCTGTGAGCACTGATGCAAGTAAACATGCCCAGGTTTCTGACCCTGTCAGACTGTGAGCCATGGTGGTTCCCAATTTGGATATCAGTGGACAAGTTAAAAATTCAAGTGACTTGCTACTCCCTGAATGTACCTATCCATTAAGGTTGTCATTGACCAGTGTTATGTGGCAGTGAGTTAAGTTAAGGATAACACTCTCACCCTTGGGCCTTCTAGCAAAGAGAGGCCTTTGCCATAGGAAAAACCCGAGGGCGCGTTAGCAGGTTGAAAGCAGGTTGAGGGAACACTTAAACTACTAGGCTACCCCATCTCCTCGAAGTGTATCAAATGGTAGGAGGATAGAAAATAAATGAGGGCGTCAGTGAGTTTAGCTTTACGCTGCTTTTAGCAATATTCCAGCAATATCACTGTGGGAGACACCAGAGACGGGCTTCACAAATTGTACCCACGTTTTAACCACTGGGCCACCCCACTGACTAAACCTAAGTTCAACACCTTTATTTGACAGGAAAATACAAATCACCTTGTCCTTGTCTTTGAAGACTTGCGGCCCAAATGACAGCAGACCCATCAGGCAGAGCTGGTAGCAGCTATCGTGGAAGGACTGTGTGTAGCGCCGTGCAAAGAGTACCTGCTGTCTGATGGCCGGCGGGAGGCACACAACCGGGTAGAACCGCTTCTTGGGGTGGTCCAGCAACTCCAGCAGACCATCAATCTGTAAATACATTAAGAGTAAGCTGCGATGGACTGAGAGTGTCAGTAAGTTGAGTTGGGGTAAGTTTATTGTCAACTAACTTTGAACTTTTAATTTAAGTTATATCAACTTCACATCGGATGGAGTGGCTTGAAGGTCCTTGTTTTTATTTGTTTTTACCCCGCACTCAGCAATATTCCAGCTATATGGTGAGGGTCTGCAAATAATCGAGTCTGCACCAAACAATCCAGTGATCAACAGCATGAGCTTAGATCTACGCAATTGAGAAACAGTGATGTGTCTACAAAGACGATGCAGGTTCTTGACATTTACCACTGAAACAGGGTGAATCTGGAATTTGGACAAACAATCTTTCAATAACTATAGTTATGATCCGGCAAGGGATGTCACCACCAAACTTCCTCTATCCTATCTGGGGGGAAGCTCTATACCATAGATCAATATGGCGGTCAGGTAGGCTTAGTGCAACATTACATGGTGATGAAAACCATAAGGATGTCAAGTCTAAGCTGAGGCACTAAATCCTGGAACAACAAAGGGAAACAACTCTGCACAGCTCTTCAAGTACGACAACACACTGTGTAAAAGGGAGTCAGCCAAAACATGCCATAAAGAGCTTTACCAGTTTAACAGCTTTGATCATGTGACGCAACTTCACCAATGAATGAGGAAAAGTGTTTTACATTTGACAGACTGACTGACTGAGTTTGGTTTTACACTGCTTTTAGCAATATTCCAGCAACATCACAGTAAGTCAGTAACTGACTTCTGTTGATAAATGTGCAGCGCAAAATACAGGAAGTACCAGATTCACTCACTTTGATTTAGAGTTATCTGCCCCTGTTACCAAACATGGTGGCAAACACGGCGTGCGACTGGGAGTTTGAAATTGCTAATAACAATAAGTTTATGTTTTAACTGTTTACTTGATCAGGGTTTCAAGTTTCTTGTCAGTTACTGAAAGAGACAAGAAACTTGAAACCCTTATCAAGTAAACAGTTAATGGGAAATAAGTTCAAATGAGTCAATTCAAAGAGAAAAATACTATTGCAAGTACTGCAATTGTTGGTCACAATAGACTATCGCTATCGTAATAGTATGTTGCAATAGACTATAGCTATCGTAATAGTATGTTGCAATAGACTATCGCTATCGTAATAGTATGTTGCAATAGACTATCGCTATCGTAATAGTATGTTGCAATAGACTATCGCTATCGTAATAGTATGTTGCAATAGACTATCGCTATCGTAATAGTATGTTGCAATAGACTATCGCTATCGTAATAGTATGTTGCAATAGACTATCGCTATCGTAATAGTATGTTGCAATAGACTATCGCTATCGTAATAGTATGTTGCAATAGACTATCGCTATCGTAATAGTATGTTGCAATAGACTATAGCTATCGCAATAGTTGCTTCTCCCTCAACAGCCACCCGTATGTCTGACCTTGTACGGCAGACTGACAACCTGACAGAAGACCACCAGTGGCATCAACACAAGCACATCACTCATCAGAAACCAGCCCTGGCCGTGTCCTGCAAACAAACAAACACAATCTGTCAGCATTACATGTTCTTTCAAGATCCTGTATATTTGTGGAATTTTTCACAAGCATATACAAATATACATTGTAAACCCAAAGTCACTGTGTTCTTTAATCTGATTGGTTGAAAAACGTGATCAAATGGTATTCGATTCTCGGAAATTCACTGCGTATTAATACATACAAACATCGCTCACACCATTGTATTGTTACGTCGTCAGCTGTGATGACATCATTAAAATCATATTGTGACGTAAAGTCCGAATGACGTCACAAATGAGCAGTTCTGGATGCTACCATGGGAGACAGGCGAAACGGCCGGCTGATGACATTTCACTGCTGTACCCATACACGATGTTAATGAGTGCAGACACAAAAACGTGTGTGGACCTTTTGGTTTACTTTTGTGTTTACAATGTCGATAAACATCATGTGTTGGCCAATTTCCGGGTGTTATTGAGTATTTGAAGCACGGGAATTAATTTGGAACCGACGGCGTCAGCCGGAGGTTTCAAATGAAATATTCCTGTGCTTCAAATACTCAATAACACCCGGAAATTGGCCAACACATGATGTTTATCTCCAAATTGAAACATCTTACTGTAATCAAAATTACCATATTACCATAACACTTTTCTTGTAACAGACTACTTACCATGATTTGACCTTAGTGGTGCCAGATACCGTTTCCATAACAACTCATCCAGAAACAATGGCGGTTCCTTCATGGCTTCAATCTGTTCATAGACAGACTGGAAATTCTGCTCGTCCGACTGATGGGTGAAATCAAGGATGGTGAGATTTGAAATATTACTTTTCATTTCAGGATGTTTACCCAATAAACATGAACTATTTCATGTTATGAAAAGAGTTTATTAAAATATACACTGCTAAAAGTTTGAAACAGATAAAAAAATACATGTGCAGTTTTTAGGACAAAAATTCTGCAAAAACCTCACAGAGTGGGTATGATGTTTTGATTATGATCAGCGTTTCATTGAGTATTTTATGTTTATTAGTTTTCGAGTTAGATTGCAATTCATCGGTCCGCTTTTGAGCCAAATGGACTATAGATGTGACAGAAGCACTGAGTTGACCACCAGCTTATCTTGAAAGGAGTAATATAGCTTTGTGAATAGCATGCATCATGATATTTTCATACTTGCAATTAGTTGCAAACATAACAAACATTCATTTTTTTAACCTTCCCCCTATGTGTTTATTCACAAGGATCGTGCTTCAAATCAGAGTTACCTCCCTTTGGTCTGAAAATGATGACAGGAGGAAAATAGCCGAATTTGAAAATGTCATCAGTTAATTCTTCATTTTCTGCTACAATGATTCAAATAATTATCATGACATATAACTGGCTTAATACTATTACAATAGTTGACAACTGTCACAGTGTTATTGCAATAGTGTGGGTACCATTGCAGAACAATCATAATAGTGAAAATAGCCCTAATAGTCAGCCGTTGTGTGTACCTTCACTCCAGCATCCCCGGACTCGTCATCCTGACTCAGAGCTGAGGCCTCGGTAGAATCGGACTGATCAACAAGGCGTCCAGCGTAGCCATACAGGAGATAGTGGAGGTACTCGTACACCATCTTGTGACGCTTCACCTTCGGCAAGAAGTTGTATTTCACGTAGGCGCTCTGAAACAAGACCATGCCATCACCAAACATTCCTCCTGGGGCTTCAACGAGTACATTACATGGCGAATATATCATCACGAATACAGTGAGACCTCAGATATCCGGACACATTCGTTTTTACGTAAATCGTCCGGTTAATTGAATATCCGGATATCTGGATTTTTGGTTTTCATACACCTCAAGGAAAATCCAAAACGTTTATGATAATTTCACATTAGCACAGTTGTGACTAGCGGCATTGTCTAAAAGCAGTATGACACGCCTACCACGCGACCTCATCTGTCTATCAAAGTAGATCAGCCAATCGCTGAACAGGTCAGATGTCATCCAGGCTTTTGTGTTAAATCGGTAGCGAGCATACACTTCGGGGTTGAAATCTCTTCCGAAGCAACGTGGTCGTCTTGATTTGCCAATAACAAAGGGTTTTATTTTAACAGACCCAGTTGCATTGGCACACAACGCTACAGTTACTCTTTCTTTGGATCTTTTCGTTCCTGCAACTGGTTTCGAAGCCAAAGTATAATTTGGACCCAACTTGTAGAAGAGACCAGTCTCATCTAAGTTAAAAATATCATCATGTTCAAAAGTGTCCAAAACTTTCTTCAGGTCCACTCTCCCTTTCACAACTGCATCTTTATCAGCACTAGCAGCCTCCCTTTGATAGATCTTTTTGGAAATGTGATAACGTGACTTGAAGCGTGAAAGCCATCCCCGAGAATATGCAAAGTCCACAACATTTAACTTTTCCCCGATTTCTCTTGCCTTTTCTGTCAGCATTTTATCATTTACCGGCACATTTCGACTTGCAACATCGCTGAGCCACAGATAAACAGCTTCTTCGAGTTTCTGATGTTTGGCATTTCTTGATCGGGACAGGTCCGAAGAATTGTCTGGTGTGCCCAGCCATTTATGTTTTTACTTGATTATGTCGACGATCGTCGACTTTCCAATCACATGTCCAAATACTGGTCCAAAATGTTTGCTTATGTTATCTAAGCTTACTTTGGGATTTTGTTCTTTGTAAAGACATATCTCTTTCTTTTCCTTGGCTGTCACTGCGTAGCGCTTGCGTTTAGTAGGTTGACTAGCCATTTGGTGATCAACTGAAAAACCAACTGACTTGAATATCGACACACTGCACTTTTATTGCTTTGACTGAATAAACAACTTAACAGTTAGAACTCAATGGTTAACTCAGTGTCAGCTAGGCCTTCTAATCACCACCAATACCTTGATCCGGATTAGCAGATGATGTCTCGTGTCAAAACACTTGGGACTCTCGCGCTTCCCTTCACACGGTTAGCGGTGGATCAAAGCTTCATGCGGATAGGTGAGTAAATTTTGTGTTGATTTAGCCGGTTTGTTTGTAAAATGTACCGTCCGGAAACGGAAACGTCACTTTTATAACGTAAGAGATTGTTTTTTTCTAAAAATTGACCGGAAGGTGAGGTTTCCGGAAATCTGGGGTCAGGGTATCCGAGGTATCACTGTATTGGGTAACGAATACGAATAATTATTCACGAATACAATATTGTAGTTAAGTGATTGATGTACAATATGTTAATTTGTCACAGCAATAACCAGTGATCTCATGACACTCAAATTTGGTATGTGATAGTTATATCTGACTACCATGTGAGGCCTTGGCAAACTAACATGACTTGCGCTACTGCAAGGCTAGTACATATTCCATTCTTGCATATCTCACGTTGAAAAAGGACATAAGGGTTCAAGTAAAACACACTCCCTTAAAAAAATCATAAATATTCATTAATATTCGGTTCTGGTGACCTTGAATAACAAATTGAATTCCCGAGGGGCTTTGATTCGATTCACCGAATATGCGAGTGAATCGTAACAGCCTTAATTCCTACTGCAGACTAAACAGAGAACTAAAACCAAGAAACAAACTGGCTCTCACTGATAGTGGGGAGCAGGGTAGACTAGTTGTTAAAGCGTTCCTTGGTTCGGGTTCAATTCCCCACATGGGTACAATGTGTGTAGCGGTGTTTGCCCTTAACCTTGAAAAGCTGCAGGCCCTAAGGACCCAGAACCATTAAAAGTTGTGGGTCCTGATCAGAACGTGTAGCCCTATATTTTAGCCACAATAAGTAATTCCCAGCAAACAAAAAAATATGACAACTAACAAACTGAGTTCAAGAGTTCTGACAGTAGACTAACAGGAAACACGATGTCAAAACTCTGTACACCACCATATAACGTCTACCATCGTAAATGAACTGAAAGTGATACCCTGTCAGTGTATGGAGTTTGCAATGCATTCGGATAACTTGTTCGAGGTTACAATATCATATCTCAGGAATCTAAATTGCTTCCTTGAAAATGATACTTGTTTCACTTACAGACAACAGCTGGTGACTGAGATAAAAAGCTAGAAATTACTGAATGATATTTTCTGAAAAAGCAGTCGGCCATAAGGACCTGCAGAAAACAAAAGCTGTAGGTCTGAGCGGTTTTCATTTGGCTTCGGGGTTAAGGACTGATGTTAATTTCAAACACTGGTGTGTAACCCATTTCTGGTGTTCCCCGCTGTGATATTGCGGGAATATTGATAAAAGAGGGGTAAAACCATACCCACTCACTCACACATTGATAGCATATGAAATAGTACAGGCTGTAGATGGGGCGAGCCATTTATGCAGTGCAAAGTTTCATAACAATCAAACATTTATACAAAGTTTGTATTACTCATCAGTATATAATAATCAGGTGCTGTAAGTGATATTTACACGTGGATCACAATGATTCTCAAATGTGATTATTCAGTTGAGATATGACATCATACTGCTTAGCTGTTGAAAACAATATGACATGACGCCATCCATATTCCACTGCTAATGTTATGTCACATGACGAATAGGTTGGAGGTTCAAGTTTTATGTTAACATTGAATTGAATTTCTGCATTTCCTCTATCAAGGTGACAGTAAACTATGTACAAAAACCTTAGTGCAGGTAGTGCAGATTGCTTAATGAACTAAAGCTCTTAGTTTTTCAGAACAAATAATTTTTAGGTCCTAGCTCATTTATTATTTAGTATAAGTGTGTACAGTACCGGGTCATACACCATCTCCTCCACCTTCACCTTGCTGCGATACTCGAGGAACTTCATTATGCTCTCTCGAAGACTCTGGGGAAGATCTGGTGGCAGATGCTGCAAATAGCCAAGGGATTGTTCATAAAAACTACCAGTTTCATTTCTTTTATGCCTGTGTTAATCAGAGATCACATGAGGCAGACAGACCTTGCGAGTCTTTCACAGCACATGTAATGACAAACATACCAGTGTTGGATCACTCCTTGACGACTTGCTGCCATGTTTCTTCTTCATCCCGAAGTTTTTCATCTTGGCATGGTCGATGAAGGTTTTGATTATCTGGTCCTGTGGCTGCACGTCAGGCGAACACACAAACTCCAGCTGAATCAGAACAAGTGAGCATCAACTGTAGGTTATCAGACCATTATTACACACAAACTCCAGTTGAATCAGAACAAGTGAGCATCAACTGTAGGTTATCAGACCATTATTACACACATACTCCAGCTGAATACGAATAAGTGGGCATCAACTGTAGGTTATCAGACCACTATTACACACATACTCCAGCTGAAGCAGAACAAGTGAGCATCAACTGTAGGTTATCAGACCACTATTACACACAAACTCCAGCTGTATCAGAACACGTGAGCATCAACTGTAGGTTATCAGACCACTATTACACACATACTCCAGCTGAATCAGAACAAGTGAGCATCAACTGTAGGTTATCAGAGCACTATTACACACATACTCCAGCTGAATCAGAATAAGTGAGCATCAACTGTAGGTTATCAGACCACTCTTACACACAGACTCCAGCTGAATCAGAACAAGTGAGCATCAACTGTAGGTTATCAGACCACTATTACACACAAACTCCAGCTGAATCAGAACAAGTGAGCATCAACTGTAGGTTATCAGACCACTATTATACACAAACTCCAGCTGAAGCAGAATAAGTGAGCATCAACTGTAGGTTATCTGACCACTATTACACACAGACTTCAGCTGAATCAGAATAAGTGAGCATCAACTGTAGGTTATCAGACCACTATTACACACAGACTCCAGCTGAATCAGAATAAGTGAGCATCAACTGTCTGTTATCAGAGCATTATTACACACAAACTCCAGCTGAATAAGAATAAGTGAGCATCAACTGTAGGTTATCAGACCACTATTACACACAGACTCCAGCTGAATCAGAATAAGTGAGCATCAACTGTCTGTTATCAGAGCATTATTACACACAAACTCCAGCTGAATAAGAATAAGTGAGCATCAACTGTCGGTTATAGGGGTGTCACGATACACCAACCTCACGATACGATACGTATCACGATTTTAAGGTCACGATACGATACGTATCGCGATACATAATTTTCACGCCATTTTGCGGAAGGCTGCTAAAAGAGGGATATAAATCTGAGATACTTCACTAATAAATTCTTGTAACAAGCAAAACTAACAACTCAAGTCACAAGGTTCCCTTTAATATGCCCAACTTGACAGGTATTCTTGTCATCATTATCATCATGATTCATGATAAAATAAAATGTATCAATATTATCAGTGTAAATTTGGTAACTGTGGAAATAACACTTCCAGTTGTCTCCAGTTTCAAATTAAAAAAAAAAAAAAATGATCTGTACCAGCATCTGGCAGCAAGACTGTTAAGTATAAACTTTGAATAAGTCACAAGTAATATCACTGATCTTATACTGTGTCACAAAAACACATAAAATGAAAAATAATACTTCCCAGTACTAAGCAATCAGCTTAGTGTCAATTGACTCAATGGAAAACAGTTGTTAAATAATAAATATGCTTTATGTTCATGACAATTTACATGAATCAACTTAACTTTAAAAAAATAAAAAGTAGTATAACCACCATCTCCAAATGTTTCTGTTTTGGTATTCTTCAGTACTTTCCTATGTCACATCACATCAAGTATAGAATAAATGCACTGAATATATTGCCCCAGCAAGTCAGTCAAGTCACAATTGTCACAAGTGACAAATGATAAACTGTTATCACAGCAGATAAATAAACTAATAAAAAAAATAATCATCATTAGTATTTAATGATGAAACATTCAGCCTTAAGCCAGGCCTCCAGTGTCAGATTTGACAAAATCAACCAACAGTTATTTGAATTTTGTACTGCAACAGTTAACAGGATCATAATTCACAACACATTGTAATCATTCATCACATTGATCACTTCACTTCCTGAGGTTTTTCTTCAGGAAAATCAACATGTTGACGTTTTCAGGCCTCAGTGTAGCTCTCTGAGCTGTGACTATATCGCCTGCTGTTGAAAATACACGCTCACTTGGAACAGATGTTCCTGGCACACACAAAATGCATCTTGCTAATTTGGACAGCAAAGGAAATTTCTGTTCATTTTCCTGCCACCACTGTAATGGGTCTGAATTGAGGGGAATACAATCCTCAGCCTTGTAGGTGCTGACCTCTTCCTCTACCCTGGCATATGAGGACTTAGCTGTCTGCACATGAGTGACAAAGACATCACCGAATAGGTCATCCATTGCAGAGGTGTTTTCTTCCTTCACATCTGGTGTCACACTTTGTTTCAGATCACTGGCCTCAGGAAGTTGGGGCAGACCATTCTCTGGTTCCATGGACCCACTGGCTTCATCATTTTCAGTTTTCACCTCCACCTACAAAAATAAAAAGTTCCACACCACTAGACTGTAGCTTTATCATTTATCATTATACTTCACATTTGACAACCCAAATTAACTTTTGTAACTTGTTGAAATCTTCAGATTCGAGGATTTGAGGTTGTCAGGTTCACTTTTTCTTTTGGTGATGTTGATTTTGAGAAAATCTATAATATATGCATTTCAACAAATTAGATTTTATAAGAATGGCAATAAAGCAAAAAAACATGTTTCTTGGAATGATGATTTAATATTTATATTGTTTAAATTGTAAGTTACATTACCTTGCCAGAATCAGAATCAGCCAGAGCTGCAGTCTTTGCAATAATGGCACCAAATACAGCAAGTCGTCTGGCATCATCAACATGAGGCAGAGAACGGAACCTTGGATCCATAGCTGACGCTTGAAGCAGCAGATCTTGCCCATCAATGTATCGCTTGGATATATCTTCTGATATTGCAGTCTTGACACTGCGTATGAAAGCTGAGTCAGTCTCTACTGCTTGTGTCATGTTGAGGATTTTCTCCTTCAGTGGGAATATCAGGGATATAGTTGGGTGTTTCTCATCACACAGGATAGTGGTAATAGTTTTCATGGGCTTGAGGATTCCCACAAGGTCTTCAGCATTGCATAGCTCAGTGTCTGACAAACCAAGATCCTTTTCAGTCTTTCGGACCTGTTTTGACATCAGGACAGCAAGGATAGCAGGTTGTTGTTCAATGAACCTATCAATCATATCAAAACTGCTGTTCCACCTCGTGCAGACATCTTGGATCAACTTATGCTCTGGCAGTTGCAACATTTTTTGTTTTTCTCTCAGCAGGGCAGTGGCAGTAGAACTACGGTGGAAGAAACCGACAATTCGCCTGACTTTTTACAGAACTCTACACACTGTGTCGACTTTGAGACCTTTTTGGGATGCAAGATTGATTGTGTGAGCAAAACATTTCACATGTTTTAACCCGGCCTCTTTTACAGCGACTGTCATGTTGGCAGCATTATCTGTTACACAAACAACAGGTTCAGATCTCTCCAGTTTCCATTCCTTTACTGCATCAGACAGAATCTCTCCAACATTGGCTCCAGTGTGAGATTCATAAATGGCATTGGTTTGCAGAACATTGTTGACTCACCTGAAATGTAGTGACATGTGACAGTTATGTAGCTCTCTGTGGCCCTTGACGTCCACCCATCTGTTGTTATAGCAACAGCTGTTGCTTTTCTCAGACCATTCTCCACTTCCATCTTGCATTCCTTGTACAGTTCAGGAACAACCTTTCCAGTAAAATATGTCCTCCCTGGCACATTGTATTTTGGTTCTAGAACTCTTAACAGTTCAACGAAAGAATCATTCTCCACTGTTGAAAATGGTCTCAGATCTCTGGCAATAAACATCGCAATTTGTCGTGTGATGAGCTTGTGACGTTCGGAATTGAAAGCATAATGTGAAAAGGAGCCCAAAGTCCTCTGTTCAAGTGTTCTCTTGAGTGGTTTCCTTTCAGAATCAATTTTGACAGTCGGGTGATGTCTAGTGAGGTGGACTTGCATGTTTGTCGTATTCCCACTATATCCAACCAATGTCTTGCAAATATGACACATTGTCTTTTCTCGACTCACTTTTCGTTGGCCATCCTCATAATAGACTGGGAAACAGAAATGTTTCCACACGTGAGACTTGAATTTACTCCCAGTGGGAGTCTCGAAATCTCTAGTTGAGAAATCCATGCACTCACTTCAGTTTTGTCACTCCCGCACCACAGCATTACCTTACCGGCAACATACGCGCTCGCTGATTGGTCCATCAAAATAATCTAGCCAATCACAAAAGCTGTTAGTTTCCAACCTATTTTTTAAGTAAAGCTAGCTACATCTATTTATCGGAGCAGTCTCGTATAATTTTACTATCAAGACATTGAAAGAGATGGATATAGCATAAAAATTTGAATCGATAAAGTTTTGAAATAGGAATCGATACACGCAAGCATGTATCGCGTATCGTATCGTCAGTAAGAATGTATCGATACATCGATACATTCGCGTATCGCGACACCCCTAGTCGGTTATCAGACCATTATTACCCACAAACTCCAGAGGAATGAGAACAAGTGTGCATCAACTGTAGGTTATTAAACCATTATTACAAACAAACTCCAGAGGAATGAGAACATTAATCAACTCGAGTTGATCAAGCACGTCATTAAACTCAAATTCCAGTGTACTCTGGATATTATTCCACACTAGCTTCAACTGTATCAGATCAATCTTGCATCAACGAAAGTTTCACTAACTATTAATACATAGAGCTGAATATACAAACAAGAAGTTGAACCAAAACTAACCACAACATACACACAATCAGACGGAATTTATTTATCCCCAAAACTGTGATCTCAGTACTGTAGTAATCAACAGAGACGTTACATTGGCTACACATTTTTGAGTCCTGGAAAAGTTGGTCGATAAATTATGGAGTCCAAGGCATCAAAAGACACTTTTTTTAGGAGCATGACACACTATTTGGTGTACAGTGAAACCCTTTTATCAAACAACTGTTTCGTACAGCTGTTCTTTTTTTCATCCATGTCGAAAAGTTAAAAATGATTTGTTCCCAAACCTCAAGGACCTGGTCCTCTTGCTGAACAATCGACTTCATAATCTTGATCTTGCCGCTAGCTTTGAGCCAGTTGATGAGTTGGGTCATCGTCTTCCTGTCCATCCTCTCTGTACATCCCTCTTCTGCCTCTGTCATCAGCAGCATCTAGCAACATCGTCAACTCAGGTCAGGATCCACCAACGTGACTATATGTCAGTGTATATATATATATATGTATGTTAGTTATTGACAAGTAGTACACAGACACACATACAGAGAATCATACAGACAGGCACAGACACAAGCAGGCACGCAGAGGCACAGAAAACTGCACATACAGTGAGTGAGTGAGTTTAGTTCTACGCCTCTTTTAGCAATATTCCAGCAATATCATGGCGGGGGACACCAGAAATAGGCTGCACACATTGTACTCATGTTGGAAATCGAACCCGGGTCTTTGGTGTGATAAGCGAACATTTTAACCATTAGGCTACCCCATCGCCTCTTACACACATACACAGAATCACACAGACACACACATGCACATATACACAGGCAAACACAGAGCCATGCACACATAAACACACACACAGTGGTTATGAATGCACACACAGGCACAGATGTGCACATACAAGTGCACACACAAACATACATACATGCACAGATGCATGCATGCACACACTCCACATTACAGTTAATACATATATAGAGAAGAGTTACATCAATACTAAATATACTGATGCAGGGCTCCAGATAATTTTTCAACATCAGGAGTACGTACTCCTTATTTGTTCAATATTGAGTACTGGAAAACCTTAAGTGTACATTTAGAGTACTGAATGGAAGCTAATGGACTATCAGTAATCTTGTGTTTCGTTTCATATATGCACCACAACATTGCTACTCTTGTGTAAACAGGTCAATAAACAATAAAACAATACTTTTTTTCAGATAAATTCGTCTGTAAATGATTCTAAGACCGTACACCATTGCTGTGGTGCGTATCTGCTACGTTTTCTAAATTATTTCCTACCGTATCATGCATATTTCTTATCCGTACATACGCCGATACGGCCCTTATCTGGAGCCCTGCTGATGGCTGTCCTCAAGACTGCTGCAGAAATCTCCCCGACATGTACAGGTTGCAACGGCAGGGCAGATAACTCTCTACAGTTTACATGATTCCCACCGACTCACCTTATAGATGGCGGGAATACTTTCAAACACTTTTGCTTCTTTCAAGGCATCAAGAATCTTGTTTGCCCTTCTCAGCTTGAGGGCAGTTAAATTTTCTGAAATGTAAAGTAAATTTATACAAACCTGTAGAGGTTATGAATTCTTTGAAGAAAGTCCTCCTTGGGGTACTTATAAGCATTAAAATGTCCATTTTGAAACCTACGACAGTTGTAACTATATTTCAATAAAAATATTTACAAAACGAAAAAACACATTCTGCGTTATGAGACCACCCCTACAGGGCCCCAGCGGGGCCCCCTACCGGCAAGAGCAGGTAACTCTAGCCGACAACCTCGCACCTCACTTTTCATGCTGAACGGATCAGACAGAATGAGGGAGGGAGGGGAGAGACTACCCTCAAGGAGGACTTTCTTCAAAGAATTCATAATCTCTACAGGTTTGTATAATTCTTTTCAGAAGAAGTCCTCCTTGGGGTACTTATAAGCATAAAACAGACTCCCAAAGATCAGAAAAACCGGAGTGGCATTCTGTCTGACACACTGGTCCGAACGCAGTAACGTAGTACAGCCGTATGAAAATAGAAATCACACTTACCCAGTCACGTGTCCGCCAATGTCAATCAAGGCGGGGCGTGACTAAGGCGAAAGAGGACCCTGGGAGGTCAAAGCTTAGTGCCCATTGGTCAATCGGTACACACCCCCAAGATAAAACTACACCTCCCATCCTGATTGGTGGAAGTGAGTAAAAACTAGGGACTCGCCAAAACAAACTACTGTCCATAGCACACCGCCAGCCAAGCGGGAAAAATGGAAAATAGAAGCCAAAGGCACCGATACCAAAAGAACGGAAATAAAACCGCCACCACATACCTTCACCAGTGCAAAATAGGGGAGAATATACCCGACACCAGTATAAAACAATGAGTAAATCAGCCACAAGGCTTACTCCGCCTGAGGCGTGCTACTCTGTCCACTGTGGAGAATCGTCTGGCCAAACCGAGCACCCTCACGCCGAATGTTTGTCCAGCTGATAATGGCGAATGAATGAGCGTGCTCTCGGTCGGCTCCAAATAGCCGCAGAGCATATCTCCTCAATGGGCAGAGCAGCCGCATACGCTTTGGACGTGGCAACTGCTCGAACCGAATGAGCCTTTAAACCCTCTGGGGGAGTCATACCCTTGTGTATGTAACCCATACATATTGCCGACACGATCCACCTCGATATGGTCTGTGTGGTAACTGGTTGACCTACTTTACCGCCCCCGTAACAGCAGGATAACTGCTTATCTTTACGGATTGACTGTGTTCTCTTGACATACGCCTTAAGTGTCTTTACGTACATCCAACACATGTACTCTGCGCTTTGCGCTACCAGACGAAGCAGGAAGCGTAAAGGCAGGTAAATCAATAGGAGCGGTGACATGAAACGCTTTATCGATTTTTGGGCGGTAGGAATCAGGTAAGCGAATACTTACCCTATCCTTATGAAAAACGGTAAGCTCCGGGTCTGAAGACATAGCATGAATGTCTCCCACCCGTCTACCTGAAGTAATGGCCACCAAAAATGCCGCTTTCCAACTTAACAGTTGAAGCGACAATCCCGACCTATCGTAGAAGAAAGGACTAGATAGCCAATCTAAAACGATGGACAGCTCCCATGGTGGACTGGTCCGACAGACGACCGGACGCACTCTGTCCACACCTGCTAAGAAACGCTGAACCAGAGGGTGTTGTCCTAAAAGGGCACCCTCGGTAGGAATGTGGAAAGCTGAAATAGCTGTGGAGTAGCCTCGGATAGTAGACGCGGCTAGGCCGGCTTCTAACCGAGACTGTAAAAACTCCAAAACTTCGACTACAGTCGAAGAAAAGGGATCAAGTATCCCTCTGTTTCCACACCAGCGCGCATAACAGGCCCATCTATCCTCATACTGTAAGTTAGTCGAATCCCTCCGCGAAGCCAGAATTGTGTCTGCAACTGGTGCAGGAATTCGCCGCACGGAGGCGACTCCTGACAGTGGCCAAGCCACCCACTGGATCCATGGATCCGGTGTGGCTGGCCTTCCTGGGATAGGAGGTCCGTCGCATCGGGTAACAGCACCGAGGCTGTACTAGCGATCTGAGTATTACAGGGAACCAGCGTTGAGACGACCACAGAGGTGCAAGAAGCACAAGTAGTCGCGCTGGTTGGGTGGCTAGCCGCGATAGGACTCTGGGAATCAGAGGTATCGGTGGGAACGCCCACAGGACCCTGTCCGGCCCAATCTAGCTGGAAGGCATCGGAGGCGATCGCCCCGGATCCGGGATCCGGGAGCAAAACACCGGAGTCTGGTTCGTCACCCCAGAGGCAAACAGATCCACCTGGAACGAATTCGAACAACTGGGAGATAGCCCCGAATATCTCCCGGTCGAGTAACCACTCGTGAGGGGCCAGGATACGACGTGAGAGTGCATCTGCACGTACGTTGTCCTCCCCCGGGAGATACACAGGTAATACCCGTGTGTTGAACCGGTCGCACCACAGCAGAAACTGCCACGCCTCCTGGAGGAGTGACGGAGACACCGTACCGCCCTGCTTCAGGATATAGGACATCGCCCGTTTGATTGTCCATTTCTAGACGAACCACACGGTTCAACCTGTTCCATGAAGCGTTGAATACCCGTCGGACCGCTCTCAATTCTAACACGTTGATGTGTAAGGTCGCCTCGTTCACGGACCAAAGTCCGGAAGCTGTGAGGTCCCCTAGGACCCCCCCCCACCCTGTGAGGGAGGCGCCCGTCTGAATCGTGAGCGTAGGCACCGGGGTCTCCAGAGGGATACCCCTGACTAGATTCCCGGTGTCGGTCCACCACCTGAGGTGAGGATGAAGCCACTCTGGAGTTAGGAGGATAGTCTCAGAATCCCCGAGTGTGACCACAGCTGTGCTAACGCTTGCTGAATTGGCGCATCCTCAGACGCCAAGACGCCAAACTACATCCACCGTCCGCCGCCATGTTGCCTAGCAACTGAAGCCATGCGCGTGCTGAGGCCCTGGGGGACTGAAGGAATTGTACAACAACCCGTTGTACTTTGGAAATGCGGTCCTGAGACAGAGAGACTAAGCCCTGCTGTGTCTCGAATCTCGCCCCCAAGAAAACCAGATCCTGGGATGGAACCAGCTCGGATTTCTTGAGGTTGATGACCCAACCCAACCTGGTGAGAATATCCATCACTGTCTGTGTGGATTCCCGACTCAAGTGAGTGGAAAGCGCCCTGAGCAGCCAGTCGTCCAGGTACGGGTAACAAAAGTTGCCCTGTGCCCTGGCGACTTGAGCTGGCACTAGCATGAGTTTTGTGAACACCCTTGGCGCCGTGGAGATGCCGAAGGGGAGCACACGAAACTGATAGCACCTCCCGTCGAAGGAAAACCGGAGGTATTTCCTGAACTCGGGGTGCATGGGTACATGAAGGTACGCGTCCTTGAGGTCGATTGACGTAAGCCAATCCCCTGCCTCCACAGATGAGATCACCGACCGCAGTGTCTCCATCTTGAAGGACGGTACCGCTAGCAAACTGTTCAGACCCTTTAAATTGAGAATGGGTCTGAACCCTCTGTCCTTCTTGGTAACCAGGAAATAGGTTGAGTAAACCCCTAAATTTTCCTGGCCCCTCGGAACCACCTCGATGGCTGCCTTGTCCAGCAACGCCTGGACCTCGGCACGGAGAACATCGGCCTTTTCCTGAGAGTTCGCACTGGCGCAATCTAATCCCGGAGAAAGGAGGAGGGCCTCGCTTCCACTGTGGCATATGCCCATCCCTGAGTGTGGACAGGACCCAGGGATTTGATGTGGCTTTCTCCCATTCCCGGCTGAAGAGAGGTAGCCGGCCGCCTACAGGGACGCCGGGTAAGAGACAGTGAATCCCGCAGTCGGCAGTGTAACAACTGCTTGTGCCGGGACCAACAAGGGCCCGGAGGAATGCTTACTGGGAAGCCGGGCCGACTTCCCCTTCCTCTGAAAATGCTGCTGAGAGGTGGCAGCCTTGCCCCTACCTCTACCCTTGCCCTTGCCTCTACGCGCCTGAAGTGGAGCCGCCCACTTCGGGCGCCTTTCCTGAAGAGGAAGGGTAAGCTGAGGCAAGGACGGAAGGCCGGGCGCGAGCAGTGAGGGGTTGTTCCAGTAAGGGCTTAGAGTCCTTAAACTGGCTAACCGCAGCCCGCTGCCTCCCCTGACCACTGTCAATGCCCCCGGAACAGGGTTGAGCCCATCCTGAACGGCAAAGACAATAGCGCTGCTGTGTAGCCGGTGAGTATCTGGCCACAGACAGCCACAACCGACGGAGGCCCATGATCAGAGACATCATCTGGCTAGCGACATCATCAATGGCGCCAAGCGTGCCAGATGTGAATGCACCTCCGCGGAGCTGTTCGCTAACGTGGACGGCGACCGCCGCCGCCCACGCCCTCCTGGTCCACCAGCTTCCTCTGCAGGGCCGAGAGGTATGCTGAGTGGACTGAAACCTTTAGGTGTTGAACGGCGTTACGGTATTGTTCCTCAAAGGAACGATAGACCGACTTCAACACCTGGTTGTTAGAAGTAAAGGGAGGCTAACGCCGACCCTGACGAAGCCGACGACGCTGGTTATGGCCAGATGACCTCCCAGGGCGACTGAGGCATAAATACACTCGCCTACCACCGGGGTCAGAGCTCTCTCCCATCAGGTAGCGCCGGTTCAGCTCCGAAGATCGGGTTGACCGCCTCCTGAGAGGAGAGGGTTAATAACCTCACTGATCAGTGACGGTAAAATACGCAAGTGGGCCTCGGCGACCGACATCGAGCAAACGCCCCCCCGGAGACTAAACTCCGCGGGTCGGGTCGCCTGACGGCATCGACCACCCGCGCAAAAGGACGCAATGCGCTCCTTACTTGCCGCAGGGACGGACCAAGCGCCGGCGAACCTTCCCCGACGCCTCATGCCCCCGCCGTCATCCATGGCTTCCTCCTCCCGCCCCCGCAACGTAACTCTCGGTATCCAGAGTCAGCCCGAGCACGGAAGTCGGTTCCACAGACAAAGATAGGGGAGCCATAAGAGCTAAGGCGCTTGGCCCGACCGTAACCTCTAGGCTCGAGGTTGAGCCAGGGTGCCGAGGACCCAGGGAAGAGCCTGCCGGAGACAGGATTCCCCGGCGAACGTGAAGGCCCCGAAGCCGACCGGTAGCACCGGGCGCCGGGAAACCCCCGCTTGTGAGTTGGTAGCAAACGGTACGAGACCCGTATCCAACACGCTAGTACTCTGCGCTGAGCCGGAGCCAAAGCTCGGGCCAGCCACAGGCGCACCAGCAGAGGGGTCACCAGAGCCAAGGCTCAAGGTAAACCCTCCGGGGTAGAACCCGCCCCCGACCGAGCCCGAGGCAGGAACCCCCGACAGACGACCTCGGAGCACCGCCAACTCCCGAACGGAAGCCGATCTCCTCACGGAGACCGGACATCGCGTCCGAGATCAGCGAGCGAACCGAAGTCATCTGTTGCTGCAATATGGATGTTAAATCATTAATACATACGGGTGCAGATTCTGATTGAGTGGTGGAAGTGGAGGGGATAGGGAAGAAGGTTTAACCGCCTTGGCCCGCTTACCCCCACCCCCACTAGAAGAAGAAGAACTCTTCTTACTTTTAGCCACTTTAGATGGTGGGTCCTGTGCCCATAAGTCCCCCCCCGCCTGCAGCAGATTTGTATAAAACAAAAAGTCTGCGGAACGACGCTTCGTCGTCTTTGGTGAGAAAATCTGGCAGTTCTCACACGATTGATCATCATGATGTTCAACAGCCAAACAACGTAGGCACACATCGTGCGAATCCTGAGGTGGCAACATTGCCGCACATGCCACGCACGGGTGAAACTGTAACAAACAGAACCATTTATCATGGAAACTGATGTACAGTCTAAAAAACACACATATATGCAACACACGTAAAATATAATACGCACGGGCGATAAACCCTATGTGAAAAGCTAAGGCAGGTTTACCCTTTAACATATCATGAACAAGGGTGAAAATGCAAGCTTCCTGCGCAACATATATAGCGTAAATGTTATATGAAAAAACTTACCCCAACTCACCTTTTGCTGAAAGTGTAAACGTTAGGCAAGCCTACCATAGTAATAATAAGAAATTACCCTCCCCCCTAGCGATGTAACTTAAAAAAGTTACAACCGTAGGACAGAAGGAAGCCAAACCGACCGCCATCTTGCCTGCCACGCATGGCTGGAAAATGGAGCCTGTCCGACTAAGTTACAACAATCATGAATGAAAAAATCAACCTACAATTCCACTAAAGCCCGTATGCGAGAGAAAAGAGGAACCATACATACATTAGTTGATTCTGTAACACTCATTTTGATTTCTTTTCACAATGAACTACACGACGCCTGTCTTCTGAGACTCATACAGCATGAAAAGTGAGGTGCGAGGTTGTCGGCTAGAGTTACCTGCTTTCCGGTGGGGAACTCGCTGGGGCCCTGTAGGGTGGTCTCATAACGCAGAACGTGTTTTTTCGCTTTGTAAATATTTTTATTGAAATATAGTTACAACTGTCGAGGGTTTCAAAATGGACATTTTAATGCTTATGAAAAAGAATACCCCAAGGAGGACTTCAAGTTCTGTAAAAAAACACACATTCCTGTAATTAAAGTAATCATCACATCTTTCAGTGCATTAAACTTGGAAATTTTAACTATAAATTGTACACTAGTATTCATATAATTTATCCTACCTCACGCTACTTTACATCACTTTACAGGACCTTGATATTTCCTGGAGGGACCCTTGACATTAAATATTAGGGATATCCTGGCACCTTGTACATTGTCAAGGTCAATTGTTCACTACAACCATACTCAGTATTTGATAATACCCGACGCCCTGGACCACAATATTACTAATGAATAGATCCTGGTAAATCCAAGAACATCTTTGAGAACAATATAAATAAGAGAAAACTAGGTTATATGAAACAATGAGCACAACATGTATATAGTCAGATGACTGACTGACTGAGTTTGGTTTTACGCTGCTTTTAGCAATATTCCAGCAACATCACGGCGGGGGACACCAGAAATGGACTTCACACATTGTGCCCATGTGGGGATTCGAACCCGGGTCTTCGGAGCGACGAATAACGCTTTAACCATTAGGCTATAAATAATTGAGACTGGACCAGACAATCTAGTGATCAACAATATGATCATCGATCTACGCAAATGGGATACGATGACGTGTCAACCAATTAAGCGAGCCTGACCACTCGATCCCGTTAGTTGCCTCTTACATTTTGATTCTCCACATGGGTACAATGTGTTAAGCCCATTTCAGGAGTCCTCCATTTTGATATTGCTAAAAGCGGCATTAAACACATACACTCATTCCCTCCTATTCAATGAATTTTGAAACAGAGCTTTCTCACAAACATAAAAAGTGAACTTTTTCAATCTTTTCTCTGTGAAAGTGTTAATGTCTGCAAAATATCAGGCCAAAATCAGTGCTTGGATTCCACAAAAAATATGAAAATTTCTTTATGTAATTTAAACTTACAGTGATTTTACACCCAGCCCAAAGAACACAACAGTGAATAGCAATTCTGGATATTTGTTCAATCATGAAACATATCACAGGATAACATATCCATACATACTGAGGTCAAGCAGTTGGCCTTCAGGGGTGGAAATGGATGTTTTGGGAGATTTAGCAGCCGGTGACCCGATGTTGGAGAGTTTCGACTTCCGCTTCCCTGCTTTTGCAGGAGGAGTTTTAGTGACGTCTGCTTCTGGAGTGCTGACAACCGACACACTGACAGTCGACACGTCTGGCGTCGGATTGGTTGAGGTATCGACATCTGTTGTTGCCTCAGTCTGCGATGTCTCCATGTCCGGCAACTCCACTACACTTTCATCTGCAAGGGGAACACACAGAGCTGGATTACAGGGCCTAGAATTTCGAAGCTCTCTTAGTGCTAAGATAGACGTAAGTGCCATACATTAACATTAACTCACTACTATCTTAGCGCTAAGAGAGCTTTGAAAATATCATGCCGAGGTCACTGGAGTGGAGGCAAAAATGATTTGGAATTGACAGGAATTATCTAAAATTATAAAAAAAAGTGTCCTTGGGCGGCAAATTTGTTCCAAAATTGGATCAGTTTTTTATTTTCTGTAAGTAAGGGGTATTTGAATATTGAATTCAAACACTGACTAAAGATGTCAGGTGGCCATGCTCAATCAATTGCTTGATAGTGCATCATCATCACCTGAAGGAAAATTGATCAGAATATCTTTGGTTTGTTGGACTCGATTCTGAACAGATCAGTAGTGTTGGGAATTGGTTAAAATCCCATAATTGATGATTGGCTCATTACAACCGATCAATCATCGAAAATAAATGGTTCGCGTCATTTATGAAATTTTCCTGGTTATTTTTGTTTGCGAAAAAAGAAAAAGGAAAAACAATCTAGTTCTTTGATATTTTTTTTCTGCAAATTGCACATCATTAAAGGGTGCCTAGTATGTTAGGAACATTAATTTCTTGGAGTCTTTGAGATAAATTCAATCATGACTTGGAACGAGCTTGTAGTGCTTATGAAATGTAACAGACAAAACCAACCTTGTGAAAAATATTGTTAATGCAAAAGGTTTTTCACAATTGTTTGTGTTCGATTATGAGAAAACATGATCGATTGCTTGGTCGTTTAGTCACTGCGACCAATCCTCGATTGTTTCAATTAATCAGACCACCACTACAGATCAGTGCTTAATAGCAGGTAGAACACAGAATGTGGTATCAAACTACAAATATGTAATTCATAATCGACAACACCAAGCTGGAACGGTTTAGTTGTCTGTGGCAATCTGCTGTTCTATGATCTTCTATAGTTTGTAGTATCATCATCTTCACAATCAACAGACACGGCGGACATGTTTTTGTTGGGGGTCATATAAGATGTGAGTAATCACAGGTAAGTCATGTGATATCATTACATTATTTGCCATGTATTAATGTGCCATTTCATCATGACAATACACAATAATGTTGCAATTCAAATGTAAGAAACAGATTACTGCATCTGTGCCTGTCACATAACATTTATCCAACAACTCATTTCCATTTCTATTACAGTTTGAAACAACTGGTATGGTTTCTGACAGCCACTCATGGAGTAATAGTGAGTGAGTGAGTATGGTTTTACGCCGCTTTTAGCAATATTCCAGCAATATTACGGCAGGGGACACCAGAAATGGGCTTCACACATTGTACCCATGTGGGGAATCAAACCCGGGTCTTCGATGTGATGAGCGAACACTTTAACCACAAGGCTACCCCACCGCCCCTCATGGAGTAATATGTTCACCCAGCAGTGAATGGGTACCCGGTGGTATAAGTGATGAGACTATTAACATTCTAGAGCCTCACAGGCATCTTGAGTACTCCAGGGTAATAATGTCCATTATGTCGTGTGTGCTTAGGGCTTCGGTGCTATATAAGTGGCCTTATTATAATTATCATTATTAATCTGTATATCTGCCACCCACCTGGTGATAATATCTCCCCCTGCATGTGTTCCATCAGTCGACTCTTCTCAATGTCAAACTCTTGGCTCAGCTTACTCGCATTGTAGAACTTGGTCGCTATCAAACTGCAAAAATAAAAAGTTATTTTCTTTGAATACACATGTTTGAAGGTGTACGTTAAATTGATACAAATTAAATGTCTAAACTTTGTTTGAACCCAAAGCTGACAAACCTGCAAACACAATCAAGGCAAACTGGGATTCTAACTGATGAGTGAGTGAGTTGGGTTTTACGCCGCTTTGAGCAATATTCCAGCAATATAATGGCAGGGGACACCAGAAATGAGCTGGTCCCTGAACCATATTATTTTCCCCAATGCTTAGCCCTCCATGCAATGCTAAAGCCCTAAATAAAGCAAGTCTAGATTTCCTCAGCCTGAATCTCTGGTCTCACTGGGGCTCCTTTTCAATTTAAATGAGTTTTTTTTGCTACTATCAAATTTATATGTATTCAGGGACTAAACGTTAGTCTAATTATACCCATGTGGAGAATCGAACCCGGATGTTCGGCATGATGAGCGAACGCTTCAACCACTAAGCTATTCCACCACCCCTTCTAACTGATGAACATAGGATACTGGCATTGCCAAGGGCTGTAACTCTGTACAGCAAATTGCAGCACCTGTTAACCATGACTTAGAATAAACTTTCGAATTGAAATAGGTAATATAAAATATTCAGAAAGCATCACCATTACTGCTGTTACTAATCCATGTTTACTGTGTGGATGAGCAGTTATTTGCCTGTAATCACATGATTATTTGGCAGGGTGCTCAATGTGTCATGCCTGCACGATACACTTGTCCAAAACAAACAGTGACTTGACACAATACACTTTATCCAATGCCGACTTGCATAATTTCAGGCGCTTTTCTAAGTCATGTACATCGTTGTCTGGTAGTATCCTTGATCACCTGACAGTTAACTTCAGTATGTCAGGGGTGGAAATAACTTTAAAATTGCTAGTGTACTCCGGTACAGTGGCACATGTGAAATCACTTGCCCTGAAATTTATTCCACTATACCGGACGTTTTCTTGTTGAAATTTTTAAATAAACAACATAATTAACATTGGAAAGTCAACTGGACGCCGGTACAGTGTGATATACAAATTTGCTTGCCTGACAGAAAAAAACACTGGACTTGGACGTCGGGCAATGGGTTATTTCCACCCCTGGTATGTCCTGATCAATTTTTTTTCTAGAATGTGTCTATGTTAGTGTTCTAAAATTAACTATTGCATATTGTTTGGTGTTGTTTTACTTTGAATTTGGTCAACACAACTCAAAGTTTATGATCAACCCTGCTAGAACTAATAGTTCTGATATTGTGTGGTATCACGTACAGAACAACTGCACATCACATCAGAGGTGAGTTGAAAACAGGGTTTGTATCAGCCATCAAATTTAAGGCCTTTTTAGGGGCTTTTCAAGACCCGACCCGTGAAGATCCGGGGTAGAATAGGTCTTCAGCAACCCATGCTTGCCACATAAGGCGACTATGCTTGTCGTAAGAGGCGACTAACGGGATCGGGTGGTCAGGCTCGCTGACTTGGTTGACACAATGTCATCGGTTCCCAATTACGCAGATCGATGCTCATGCTGTTGATCACTGGATTGTCTGGTCCAGACTCCATTATTTACAGACCGCCGCCATATAGCTGAAATATTGCTGAGTGCGGTGTAAAACTAAACTCACTCACTCACTTTTCAAGACCCAGTCAATAATTTTAACAACAAGATATGCATATAACACAGAAATAGTTGAATACACACAAGGTTGGTCAAATGTGGGACGGACTATCGAAGGGAAATAACTCTTAGCTACATCACTGCACTGGGAAAGTTATGTTCCACGATGGCGATTAATTAACACCCACTGTCATTGAAAGGCGTTTTTAATTATGTATTAGTTGCTTGTAAAGTTTAGCTAAATATAGGGCCTTTTCAAGGCTAAAACAAATTTAGGGCCTTTTAAGGGTGAAATGTCTAAATATCAGGCTTTAACAAGACCTGGAAAAGGGGTTTAACATCAACTTCATGATAACAGCACATTTACATGTGATCGACTGACTGACTGAGTGTGGTTTTACGCCACTTTTAGCAATATTCCAGCAATATCACGGCGGGGGACACCAGAAATGGGCTTCACTCATTGTACCCATGTGGGGATTCGAACCCGGGTCTTTGGCGTGACGAGCCAACGCTTTAACCACTAGACTACCCCACCGCCCCACATGTGATCGAACAACACAAACACACTTCATACTGAACTGAAAAGTGAAGTCTGGTCTGACTTACATCGACGTTCTCTGTTTGCCGAAACTCTTCATAACACTGGTGATGACCCCACTTTTGAGGAGATTACGGACGATGGTGCGACACTCGAGACGGGGCAGGGTCATCAACGACTGCAGCTGTGTCTGCATCAAACCCTGCGCACCTGCCTTCTCAAAATGCATCATCGCCTGTTGTAGGATTGGCCGCTCAGTACAACCATGGTACTGGTGCATATTCTGATGGACAAGTGATGAGCAATCTCATTTATTAAGCCTGTCAGGCCTGACCATACAAATAGTCAAATGCAAAGATCATTTTTTGTTGTTTAATAAATTACTGAGCAATATTCCTGCCTTATGACAGCAGCCTGTAGTATGTTCAAGACATTTATTATAAGACGATCAATTAAAACCATCTGGGTACAACTGCCTGTACATTAAAATCCCCTACTACGACCAGCATAGATCACAAAGAACCACGTGGTAAACACGATTAAGTGTAGAACAGTTGTAACGTACAATGGTTTCTCAAAGCCAGCAGACTGTCAGTTCCTCTTATGTACAACTGGATAATGATAATGCCATATTATTGAAAATTGATATTCATGAAAAATGATGAATAATGTAACTTGAAAAGGACTAGTAGAAAGTGAGTGGCCTTGTACGTAACAGTATGATGGGTTTTATCAATATTCTAATAATATCATGGCGTTCAGACATTCTACTTGCGTGTAGACCTGGCCAAGGTATAATGAGAGAACACTTTAACCACTAAGCTACCTCCCATTCCCAAAGTGGGAACCCAACCACTGGTCAACAGCGTTATTTTGTTTGTCTTCAACTCACCTGCAACCTTGTCATCTTCTTCGTCGTCATCATCATCGTCTACCTCCTCCTTGAACGGCTTCACCAACTTGATGACTTTCAGGTTCCGCTCCTTCAGGAAGGACCTGACAGAAACATGGCATTGACCGTAAAAACTGTTTGCTGGCGTAGATATAGCTGTGTGTGAAAGAGTGAATTTTACGTCGCAGGTAGTGTTGGGAATTGGTTAAAATCTCATAATTGATGATTGGTTCATTACAACCGATCACTCGTCGAAAATAGTTGGTTAGCGTAATCATGTATGAAATGTTCCTGGTTATTTTTGTAAAAGCACAAAAACATAAAGAAAAAACATGTTGTTCTTTGGGGTGTTTTTTGCAAATTGCACATCTTTAAAGGATGACTAGTACCTTAGGAACATAAATTTCGTAGGGTTTTAAAGATAAATTCAATTGTCACTTGGAACGAGCTTGTAGTGCTCATGAAATGTAACAGACAAAACCAACCGTGTGAAAAATATTGTTAATGCAAAAAAGTGTTCCAGAATTGTTTGTGTTCGATTATGAGAAAACATGATCGATTGTTTGGTCGTTTAGTCACTGCGACCAATCTTCGATTATTTCAATTAATCGGACCAACACTAGTCGCAGGGGAAATCAGAAATTGGTTTCACACATTGTACCCATGTTGGGAATCAAACCAGGGTCTTCAGAGTTTAACCACTAGCCTACGCCGACACCCGTGGGTGACAGAGGATGAATACACGTTTGTACATCTCTGTACAAATGGCTCAGTTACAAAATAGCCTTAAGATGCAGATATTAGATGTTTACAGGAGAGTAACGCTATTAGCCTCATATAAAGTGCATCACGATACTCTATGCTATGGTACAAGTATCCATACAGATGATACTATTAGTTACACTGTGTTTTGAAAGGGTGTATAGGACTGTAAGAGTACTAAGACCCTTGTAAATTCTGTATTCCCTTGTAATTACGGAATACAAGGGTCTTACACCCTGTGACAAATTTATTACCCTTAAGATCTCTTAAGTTAGCATATCTTTAAACAACAACATTCAACCTGAGGCAGAATGAGACGCAAAACGTTTCGCCATGATTTTTCCTAAACGGTCATAAAGGGAGATAACTAGGATGGCTTAGTTTATAATAAAAATGATCGAATTTGAGATTTTGTTAAACGACAAGTGATATACAGAAACATTTTATTTTTTGGATACATTTACTGACACAAACAAATAAGAAATTATGGCAACAATTTTAATACTCTGTTTATACTCATAATTCTATATGCCAACTCTAATATTTTGAAGCGATCAGCCATTTGGCAGCCTCATTCCATCTAAGGTCAAGGTCATTCGTACACCCCCCGTGTAGTGTGTCACGTAACAGATTCGACGGGGTGTACGGTTCGTACACCCTGGCAAATCCGCCTACATGGTTTCCTATGCTTTGGCTACTTACCAATCAGAATTCGACAAATCTATCTTAAGGGTAATAAATGTATATACATATCTGGTAATAAATGTATATACGTATCTGTTGTGTGAGAAATTTGTGTAAATATTCTATTACAAAAGTTAACGTATGATATATTCGATGATACAATTTTCATATCAATAATCATTAATAATTTTTCCTATTTGACAATATTTCCAACTATTAATAAATGTAGCCATCTCTAACACACAGATTCTACACTCTGGTTGACCAAGGTGTACACAGTATCTACACTCTGTATGACCAAGATGTACAGTCTCTACACTCTGTATGACAAAGGTGTACAGTCTCTATACTCTGTATGACAAAGGTGTACAGTCTCTATACTCTGTATGACAAAGGTGTACAGTCTCTCCACTCTGTATGACCAAGATGTACAGTCTCTACACTCTGTATGACAAAGGTGTACAGTCTCTATACTCTGTATGACAAAGGTGTACAGTCTCTACACTCTGTATGACAAAGGTGTACAGTCTCTATACTCTGTATGACCAAGGTGTACAGTCTCTATACTCTGTATGACAAAGGTGTACAGTCTCTATACTCTGTATGACAAAGGTGTACAGTCTCTACACTCTGTATGACAAAGGTGTACAGTCTCTATACTCTGTATGACAAAGGTGTACAGTCTCTACACTAAGTATGACAAAGGTGTACACAGTCTCTACACTCTGTATGACCAAGATGTACAGTCTCTACACTCTGTATGACAAAGGTGTACAGTCTCTATACTCTGTATGACAAAGGTGTACAGTCTATACTCTGTATGACCAAGGTGTACAGTCTCTATACTCTGTATGACCAAGGTGTACAGTCTCTATACTCTGTATGACAAAGGTGTACAGTCTCTACACTCTGTATGACCAAGGTGTACAGTCTATACTCTGTATGACAAAGGTGTACACAGTATCTACACTCTGTATGACCAAGGTGTACAGTCTCTATACTCTGTATAACAAAGGTGTACAGTCTCTACACTCTGTATGACAAAGGTGTACAGTCTCTATACTCTGTATGACAAAGGTGTACAGTCTCTACACTAAGTATGACAAAGGTGTACACAGTCTCTACACTCTGTATGACCAAGATGTACAGTCTCTACACTCTGTATGACAAAGGTGTACAGTCTCTACACTCTGTATGACCAAGATGTACAGTCTCTACACTCTGTATGACCAAGGTGTACAGTCTCTATACTCTGTATGACCAAGGTGTACAGTCTATACTCTGTATGACAAAGGTGTACAGTCTCTACACTCTGTATGACAAAGGTGTACAGTCTCTACGCTCTGTATGACAAAGGTGTACAGTCTCTATACTCTGTATAACAAAGGTGTACAGTCTCTATACTATGTATGACAAAGGTGTACAGTCTCTACACTCTGTATGACAAAGGTGTACACAGTCTCTACACTCTGTATGACAAAGGTGTACAGTCTCTATACTCTGTATGACCAAGGTGTAGTCTCTACACTCTGTATGACAAAGGTGTACAGTCTCTACATTCTGTATAACAAAGGTGTACAGTCTCTACACTCTGTATGACAAAGGTGTAGTCTCTATACTCTGTATGACAAAGGTGTACAGTCTATACTCTGCATGACAAAGGTGTACAGTCTCTATACTCTGTATGACAAAGGTGTACAGTCTCTACACTCCGTATGACCAAGGTGTACAGTCTCTATACTCTGTATGACAAAGGTGTACAGTCTCTACACTCTGTATGACCAAGGTGTACAGTCTCCACACTGTATGAAAAAGGTGTAGTCTCTATACTCTGTATGACAAAGGTGTACAGTCTCTATACTCTGTATGACCAAGGTGTACAGTCTATACTCTGTATGACAAAGGTGTACAGTCTCTACACTCTGTATGACAAAGGTGTACAGTCTCTACGCTCTGTATGACAAAGGTGTACAGTCTCTACACTCTGTATGACCAAGGTGTACAGTCTCCACACTGTATGAAAAAGGTGTACAGTCTCTATACTCTGTATGACAAAGGTGTACAGTCTCTATACTCTGTATGACCAAGGTGTACAGTCTATACTCTGTATGACAAAGGTGTACAGTCTCTACACTCTGTATGACAAAGGTGTACAGTCTCTACGCTCTGTATGACAAAGGTGTACACAGTCTCTATACTCTGTATGACAAAGGTGTACAGTCTCTATACTCTGTATGACAAAGGTGTAGTCTATACTCTGTATGACAAAGGTGTACAGTCTCTATACTCTGTATGACCAAGGTGTACAGTCTCTATACTCTGTATGACAAAGGTGTACAGTCTCTATACTCTGTATGACAAAGGTGTACAGTCTCTATACTCTGTATGACCAAGGTGTACAGTCTATACTCTGTATGACAAAGGTGTACAGTCTCTACACTCTGTATGACAAAGGTGTACAGTCTCAAGGTGTACAGCTCTGTATGACAAAGGTGTACAGTACACTGTATGACAAAGGTGTACAGTCTCTACACTCTGTATGACAAAGGTGTACAGTCTCTACACTCTGTATGACAAAGGTGTACAGTCTCTATACTCTGTATGACAAAGGTGTACAGTCTCTACACTCTGTATGACAAAGGTGTAGTCTCTACACTCTGTATGACAAAGGTGTACAGTCTCTACATTCTGTGTAACAAAGGTGTACAGTCTCTACACTCTGTATGACAAAGGTGTACAGTCTCTATACTCTGTATGACAAAGGTGTAGTCTCTACACTCTGTATGACAAAGGTGTACACAGTCTCTACACTCTGCATGACCAAGGTGTACAGTCTCTACACTCTGTATGACAAAAGTGTACAGTCTCTATACTCTGTATGACAAAGGTGTAGTCTCTATACTCTGTATGACAAAGGTGTACAGTCTATACTCTGCATGACAAAGGTGTACAGTCTCTACACTCTGTATGACAAAGGTGTACAGTCTCTACACTCTGTATGACCAAGGTGTACAGTCTATACTCTGTATAACAAAGGTGTACAGTCTCTATACTCTGTATGACCAAAGTGTACAGTCTCTACACTCTGTATGACAAAGGTGTACAGTCTCTATACTCTGTATGACAAAGGTGTACAGTCTCTACACTCTGCATGACAAAGGTGTAGTCTCTACACTCTGTATGACAAAGGTGTACAGTCTATACTCTGTATGACAAAGGTGTACAGTCTCTATACTCTGTATGACAAAGGTGTACAGTCTCTACACTCTGCATGACAAAGGTGTAGTCTCTATACTCTGTATGACAAAGGTGTACAGTCTCTATACTCTGTATGACAAAGGTGTACAGTCTCTACACCCTGTATGACAAAGGTGTACAATCTCTATACTCTGTATGACCAAGGTGTACAGTCTCTACACTCTGTATGACCAAGGTGTACAGTCTCTATACTCTGTATGACAAAGGTGTACAGTCTCTACACTCTGTATGACAAAGGTGTACAGTCTCTACACTCTGTATGACAAAGGTGTACAGTCTCTACACTCTGTATGACAAAGGTGTACAGTCTCTATACTCTGTATGACAAAGGTGTACAGTCTCTACACTCTGCATGACAAAGGTGTAGTCTCTACACTCTGTTTGACAAAGGTGTAGTCTCTACACTCTGTATGACAAAGGTGTACAGTCTCTACACTCTGCATGACAAAGGTGTAGTCTCTACACTCTGTATGACAAAGGTGTACAGTCTATACTCTGTATGACAAAGGTGTACAGTCTCTATACTCTGTATGACAAAGGTGTACAGTCTCTACACTCTGCATGACAAAGGTGTAGTCTCTATACTCTGTATGACAAAGGTGTACAGTCTCTATACTCTGTATGACAAAGGTGTACAGTCTCTACACCCTGTATGACAAAGGTGTACAATCTCTATACTCTGTATGACCAAGGTGTACAGTCTCTACACTCTGTATGACCAAGGTGTACAGTCTCTATACTCTGTATGACAAAGGTGTACAGTCTCTACACTCTGTATGACAAAGGTGTACAGTCTCTACACTCTGTATGACAAAGGTGTACAGTCTCTACACTCTGTATGACAAAGGTGTACAGTCTCTATACTCTGTATGACAAAGGTGTACAGTCTCTACACTCTGCATGACAAAGGTGTAGTCTCTACACTCTGTTTGACAAAGGTGTAGTCTCTACACTCTGTATGACAAAGGTGTACAGTCTATACTCTGTATGACAAAGGTGTACAGTCTCTACACTCTGCATGACAAAGGTGTAGTCTCTATACTCTGTATGACAAAGGTGTACAGTCTCTATACTCTGTATGACAAAGGTGTACAGTCTCTACACCCTGTATGACAAAGGTGTACAGTCTCTACACCCTGTATGACAAAGGTGTACAATCTCTATACTCTGTATGACCAAAGTGTACAGTCTCTACACTCTGTATGACCAAGGTGTACAGTCTCTACACTCTGTATGACCAAGGTGTACAGTCTCTACACTCTGTATGACAAAGGTGTACAGTCTCTACATTCTGTATAACAAAGGTGTACAGTCTCTACACTCTGTATGACCAAGGTGTTCAGTCTCTACACTCTGTATGACAAAGGTGTACAGTCTCTACTCTCTGTATGACAAATGTGTACAGTCTCTACACTCTGTATGACAAAGGTGTACAGTCTCTATAATCTGTATGACAAAAGTGTACAGTCTCTATACTCTGTATGACAAAGGTGTACAGTCTCTATACTCTGTATGACAAAGATGTACAGTCTCTATACTCTGTATGACAAAAGTGTACAGTCTCTACACTCTGCATGAGCAGGGTAGATATGTAGACTTACTTTGTGAGAAACTCCTCCTCCGGTGCTTCCGGGTAGAACTGGCGGTACGGCATATCTTGCACCACGAAGAATGACTTGTCCTTTATCAGCCTTTTGAATGCTATCTCTGGCAGATCCTGCAAATACAGTATTGTACAGTAAACATGCCAAAATATTTTGCTTTAGGAAACAATTTCACATTTATTGTGGGTTTTCAAAATGGCAGGTGCTCCAAAACAACACAATCCCACCACACAGGATATATCCTCGTATTACTGCTTATCTGAAGTATTACATAATATTGTATCACTTATAGAACCCAACTATATCATGTTCCAAGTATATATAATGTGTAGGGCGAGTAATTACATTAAACATGGCTTCCCAAAGACATATGATCCGATGATACGTAAAGCAGGAAAAGGTGGGGTACTTTGTGGTTAAAGTGTTCGCTCGTCATGCCAAAGACCTGGGTTTGATTCCCTACATGGGTACAATGTGCGAAACCCATTTCTGGTGTCCCCCGCCGTGATATTGCTGGAAGATTGCTAAAAGCGGCGTAAACTAACCTCACTCACTTAAAGTGGGCAATCAAGACTTCTATCATGTACGTACAAAGTCCTCCCTGATGATGGTGGTGACTTCCCAGTGGTTCTCCTTGCCCTCCAGGTATTTGCACACGGACTCCAGCAGCATGCGTGACTTGCTCATGATGCGGCTGAAGTAGCGGCGAAGTTGCATCAGTCGACAGTTCAGCTGCTTCCCCTTCTCGTCTCGGATACAGAATGTCTGCACAACAAAACACTGACTCACTGATACAGAATGCCTGCACAACAGAACAGTGTTTGATTAATACAGAACAACAGCACAGAAAAACACTGACTCACTAACAGGACAACAGCACAACAAAACACTGGCTCACTAACAGGACAACAGCACAACAAAACACTGACTCACTAACAGGACAACAGCACAACAAAACATTGACTCACTAACAGGACAGCAGCACAACAAAACACTGACTCACTAACAGGACAGCAGCACAACAAAACACTGACTCACTAACAGGACAGCAGCACAACAAAACATGGACTCACTAACAGGACAACAGCACAACAAAACACTGACTCACTAACAGGACAAAAGCACAACAAAACACTGACTCACTAACAGGACAGCAGCACAACAAAACACTGACTCACTAACGGGACAACAGCACAACAAAACACTGACTCACTAACGGGACAACAGCACAACAAAACATGGACTCACTAACGGGACAACAGCACAACAAAACACTGACTCACTAACAGGACAACAGCACAACAAAACACTGACTCACCAAGACAGAACAAAAAAAACCACCTGCACAAAAAAACAGTTTGACTAATCCAATGACTAACCTCAAATGCATCAATCAACACAATGGCATGTGATGACTGGCATCAACAAAGTCACCAAAACCAATGACCAGATTCATTAAGTTACCTTCAATCTTTGAATAAATGGCCTGAGTATACGGAAGGATTGAAACCAATTAGCCAGAGCACAACACGCAGGTGACACAAAAACATATCTCGACTAAATGGAATCTTGGCAGAACTGACAAATAGGGGATCTAAAGGTTATGCTCCGCCACAAGAGGACAGTCACCAAACCCAACCACCAGATTCATTAAGTTACCTTGAACAACCAATGGTGGTCGATGGTAGCAATTCTAACCAGTAACGCCTCACCCACTGCTGATGAGAAGTTATAGAAGGCGGAGTGAGGGAACCTGATTTTACCCGACAGTCCTATACTGTTACAGCTTCACGAACAAACAGTCACTCAACAAGTTACAATCTATGTGAACCCACCTGCTTTGTGATCAGCTTTAGTTTCACTAGCTTCTTGCAGTGGTAGAACAGCTTCTTGGACTCGATCTTGAACACACCCAGACTCCCTGTGGTCTCCGAGTGTGTGGTGACTTCCCCATTATGACGAGATCTAAACAAAGTACAACTTGGAAGTCAGGTGACATGGGGTCAATGCTGCATCTAGGGACCGTTCATAATCTATGGTAAAGGGGGGCTGATGATGATTTTTATGCAGAAGCATGTACAATGGGAATGACCCCCCCTAAAACTTAGGTACAGAATAAGTCCCCCCCCCAATGAATGATCAAGTCATGACCAGACAATCCAGCACCAAACAACATGAGCATCAATCTACGCAATTGGGATACGATGACATGTGTCAACCAAGTCAGCGAGTCTGACCACCCGATCCCGTTAGTGTCCAATTACGACAAGCATGGGTTACTGAAGACCAATTCTAACCCGGATCTTCACGAGTCTAAGGCTACTAAAATTCACAATGAATCGGTGACTGCAATGTGGACTACAACAGGTAAATGGCAACGCTCAGATCATTTGAGACAAAATTAGGAAACCTGATATCTACGGTCTGATTACCTAATCAGTAAAGCCACAAAATGGAATTCAGTCGGAATGAGGTAGACCATATGTGGAGAACAGGGTCCAATCTACGCAATTGGGATACGATGACGTGTCAACTGATCCCATTAGTTGCTCTTCACGACAAGCATGGGATGCTGAAGACCAAGTCTGACCCTGATCTTCACGGGTACTAATAACATAACACATATTTACCTTGCAATTCTCTCCAGAAGGCAGTACTCGATATCATCAATGCGCAAAGTTGACTTGCCCTCAGTTCCAAACAAGGTTGTTGTCCTCAGTGCCTGGCTAGCTACCACCACTAGCCTGTCTCCCCACCTAGATTCAACACACCAGAGAGGTGTTATAAAGCAGACTGACTGAGTATGGTTTTACACCGTTTTTAGCAATATTCCAGCAATATCACAGCGGGGGACACCAGAAATGGGCTTCACAAATTGTACCCATGTAGGGAATCGAACCCGGGTCTTCGGCGTGACGAGCGAACGCTTTAACCACTAGGCTACCCCTATATTCTAGGGATGTCACGATACATACCTATTTTCACGGCATTATTGCTTAAATTTAGTTACATTTTGAACATTAATATTTCACATTTTACAATTGTCCATGAAAAGATCAATATTTTTTATTCTCAGAGATTACAAAGTTCTAATTTCCCATATTTGTGCATGAAAAATAATCATATATAACTCTCATAAAATAAAACTGTAAAGTATACATAAACCGATACTTTCAAAACTAAATATCGATACAGTCTTGAATGTATCGATAATTATATCGTCTTAGAAAAAGTATCGATGCATCAATGTATCGTGGCATCCCTATTATATACACATGAAAATCATGTCCAATAAATACAAATTCTTATAAACAAATGAAACAAAAGAGTAAAAACTACTTGAATCTTTAACAGTATTTGTTAAATACAGGATTCTAAACTTTTTACCATTGACAGTGAGTGAGTGAGATTTTATGCCACTTTTAGCAATAGTCCAGGAATATCAATGTGGGGACACCAGGAAAGGGCTTCACACATTGTACCCATGTGGGGAATCAAACCTGAAAGCTTTAACAACTAGGCTACCCACTAACTAAACCGAAGATCAACACTTTTATTTGAGAGAGAGATTTTTTGCCGCTTTTAGCAATATTTGCTGTCGCCATCACAACAGGGGACACTAGAAATGGGAAAGACGTAACTCAATGTTAATGAGTGTGTGTGTTTAGTTTTACGACACTTTTAGCAATATTTCAGCAATATCATGGCCAAGGACACCAGAAATGGGCTTCACAAATTGTACCCATGTGGGAACTGAACTCGGATTCCTCAGCGGGTCTTCAAAAGCTTTGACCACAAGGCTTAACCTATGATAACCCACAATCTGCCTGACAAAGCCTTCCAACCAATCCCCAGTTTAGGCTACTGTTCCTACAAGCATGAGGTACTGATAACCCAGTAAGACCCTTCATTCCAATGACAATCACCTCTCTACGGCATCATCCAAGGTTAATTTGACTTTCCACTCTCCGTCTCGAACTTCGTCTGTGACATCTTTCCTAGTGGCAAAGGCCTCACAAGACCCCTGCACATCCTCGCCTGTGATCATCTTCAGGGGGTAGATGTTGGGTCCCAGGTCCTGAAAATATCATTATCTTCCATGGCTCCATCCTCCAATAGCCAGTACAACATCTACATCAGTTTACAGCTGGAGTTTGATAAATATCCAGAGACCAAATTCACACATCCTCAATAATCTCCAGGGTATACGTTACAATAAATCTCCACTATACCCTGGATGCATCTACGGCTCGGATTCATGATTTTATTACCTCCCTTGGCTGGCTTTTTATCCAATCAACATGAAATCAGCTTGAAATCAACATCCAACCAAAACAACTCTTTGAACAAGAACTTTGTATAGGTCTAAGTTCAAATTTGCACCTCATACAATGTCTCTTTTTAAGCATCGACATGTTGAAGACAAGGGCATGAGATTAAAAAGAACATGCGAATGCAAGTTTTACCATTTCCTTTGTCTCATGCTGTACAGAAAACATAATAGAGATTCTTTCCTAAAAATTCCTGTGTAAATGAGTGACAAATACCCCACTCCTAGCGTGGTGTAGCAAGGTTTACGCAACACCGAAATGAGCAACCAGTATGCACGAACGAACAGCAGAGATTCACCTTGAGTCCTGTATTTGAGGGTCCCGGGGACTCTTACTCTTAATTTTCAGGGGTCCTGGACAACAAAATGGGGGTCCAAGACACTTAAATATTATTATTAATAGTGTTTTTGTATTGTGCATCATGATCATCACATTAATTATTGCAGTAATCAAAATGCAAATAATACCATAACCCAGCTTGTAGCAAACTTAGTGATAACTTATTGTCACTTGATTGGAATTTTTACAAAAAGTATTGGGACTTTTTCTGAGTCCCCGTGGACAAGTTAATAAATTTTGTCGCGTCCATTGTTAATTTTTATGCGGTATAGGACGCAGGAATTTGCGTACTGTAAATTCCTGGTACGGTAAAGAAGCCGAAAACAAAGGATGTAGATGCACAGTAATATACATTAGAATGACAAGAGTTTAGGGATGATCGACCTCTTTATTGTACAATAGTGACGTTTCGGTATAG